ACGATGGTGCAAGCTACAATAGTAGCAAGTGCAAGGCTGCATGAGAGTGGCCTCGGAGGTGATATTCTGGGACATATGATTGCGAGTCTACTCCAACTTAAAGCAAAAGCTTCAGAAAACCCGACGGATTGGTTGAATAAAATTGGGGATCTACAAGAAGCGGTCGGTAGGGATGAAGATATGGGCAACATTAACGTTTCCGATGTTGAGTCTCCAACATCTGAGAAAAAGAGAAAGCGCGGGAGACGAACTAAGAAGACAAAGCGTAGGCGCACTCCGGTGAAAGATGATACCCCCAAAAACGCTAACATGGACTTCTATTCAGCAGCACTTCCGACTGAACGGCGCGTCTCGACAAACAAGGACAAAAAGATCTCTTCCAAGTGGCAGTGGAACGTTGATGGGACACAGCTCGCGGATGACGATGTGGCTGATGCTTTTCCACGCACAAGCAGTCTGTTTGCCTATCATGCATTGCCTATCGCTAAACGAAAACTTGGGTCGCAAGCGTCAAGGAAAGAGCTTCGGTGTGAGATGCAGTCCTTACTCGATGTTATGCCTCCGGATGAGTTTGAGAAGTGGGTGGAGAGCTTACAGAAGCTTCTCAGCGGCGACCGTGAGATGCTAACGCGACAAGATGTTGCTGCTTCGAGCGTTGACCGGCAACTCTCTCGTGCCACACCAGCGCCAGTCGACTTGCGTATGAAGGCTAGAATCGATAAGAAAACGAAACCAGGTGAATCTGGTAGATTGAGAGGGCGCGCAATCCATGTTGAGAACGACTATGAGGAGGCTTTCGTCAAATGCGAGACCGCCGAAGGATCAGTCAAAGTAGGAGAGAACTCCCAGATCAACCACATCGCAGAAGCAACGAAGGCCTTTCGTCATCTGTCTACGGAAGAATGTGAGCTCGACAGGCCACTCCCCAGAGTAGAGGTAGCAGAAAGGCAGAGAGTTCAGGATCTACAGAGCAGTGGGAACATTGACAGTGTACGTCAGTGCCACATCAGTCCAATTCTAGTGCTAAGTATTCTTAGACCTTCGGTATGCCAGTACTGAGCCTGCTATGGGGATCGGACAGCCTGACCGCAACCGAATGTATGAACGATTCCACCAGAATCACGCAAACGATCATGAGTAATCTCAAACATCGCATTTCAGCAGAGGTAGATTGCCGCCATCCAATTGTCGTAATTACAGCTAACCCACCGCAGCGTATCGTTGTGAGTGGTTTAGGAGGCATGAACAAGACTCGCACAACGTCCGAGCTCGAAAATGCCATCGCTCATGCCTTCCCCAAACCTGGACAACACTATGGCTTCATGAGAATCAAGAAGGATATCGAATCGGCACTCATTCCGTGGGTCATCGCGGAGCCGAGTGCCTTCCCTGAACTGAAGGCTATGCCCTTCGTTTTCGCTCACTCTGTTCCAGTATGGTTTCCTATAAGCTTCACTAGCTATAGAAACTAACTCAACCATATAGTCTGTTCCAGCTGTCCTTAACATACTCTTCGGCTCCTGGTCCTCTGTGGCCAGACTGAGTGGATCTGAGATGTGGGAGAGCATCTTACAAGCTCTCCAGACGCGAAGTATTTGTGAAGTGGGTGTTTCTTTCTGAGTCGGTAAGCAGAGCGGCACTGACGTGGAACTAGGCATCAGTTGGAGCCGCCAACATCGACTGCTTGCAGATTGATAGTCTTTGCAACAGAACCAGACTTCCAGAGATGACACGACGTGCTTTACTCGAACGCGTCCTTCGCCGCTTAGCCTTCTCACATAGAGACAAGTTTCCAGAGCTAAAGGCCACGCCTGTCGTGACGACGTGGGAAAGGAAGACAGGATTGACGTGGTGAAAATCAGGCAGTGCCACCTATGTCGTGTCCCGAAAGTATAGCATTATAGTGCCCAGAATGGTACGAGTGGTCCTTCATCGAATCCTATCGACTGCCAGCAGCATTACGAACGTTGAGCATTGTTGATCGATTGTACCATGCAGGTGGCGGATCGCTGGTCGGTTGGTGCGTTAACCCGGCCGGTCTTCCTCCAGTCTGCAACGAACCTGTCCATGAACCATTCCACAAATTGTCTACCACGACTATCCTGAAAATCAGACAAGTAAAACCCGAAGACTTTCACTATTGCAACCAATACGTGCATGTAGCACTCTGTATGCGCAAGGCACGGACTGTGCGAACGCACTCGTTATCATTCCCTATATTACTCTCATTACACACATCGTAGAACACGTACCGGTCTTCAAGGCTTCAGAGTGCTATTGAGAGGAGTAGCGGCAGGATTAGGGCCGAAACGTTGGAGAAGTGTAGATGTGGGGTCCTTCTCCGCAATGTGGGGAAAGACGCCTTCACACATGTAACTAGCGTCGGCACCCATGTATTCACCGAACCGAAGAGGTCTGTTCCTGCAGAATATATTAACGGCTTGTCATAGAGATACGTCTCGCCTTCTCGCAACACACATCTGACATCGTTTACAATGACACCATTACCAGCTTACATCAATCCGGAGTACCAATCAACACATTACAACCTGTTCAAGGACTCTGTAACCGTTCCGCTAAAGTCGGTACTACCGCCTGGTATTGACAGAGACGCATTCGATACAGCGATCAAGAGATATAAAAGTATTGTTGGCGATGCGCAGGTATACCAAGGTGATGCCTTGACAGAGTATATCGACCCGTATGAGTTGCATGAGGCGGAGGGGACGCGTAGAATGCCCAGCGCAGCCGTCCGACCCAAGAATGTAGAGGAATTGAGAGAAGTGCTGAAGATCTCGAATGAATTCGCCATACCAGTGTGGACATTTTCAAGAGGCAAAAACCTTGGGTTAGCAGACTCCTTCACACATCTCAGTCGATCGTCTGACAATCGGATAGATATGGTGGACCAGCTCCCCGCGTGACTGGCTCTATAGCTCTCGATCTTCATCGCATGGACAAAATCATCGAAGTAAGCGCTGAATATGCTTACGCTGTCGTCGAACCTGGGGTTACCTTTACCGAACTCTACGATTACTGCGTTAAGAACAAGCTCAATGTTTGGCCTTCGGTACCATCCTTGGGATGGGGTTCCGTTGTCGGGAACACGCTTGATCGAGGTACAGGCTTCACGCCCACAGCAACACATCATCAGCATATTTGTGGGGTCGAAGCTATGCTGGCGAATGGTGAACTCGTACGAACAGGACAATTCGCCGTTTCCAACTCACCATCTGCGCATCTCTCAAAGTTCACATTTGGACCTAGCATCGAGGGCTTGTTCCTACAGTCCAACCTTGGTATCGTAACTAAACTCGGCATCTGGCTTACACCCGCACCCCAAGCCTTCATGTCCTGCTCATTTGACATGCCTGACTTCGACGACGTGGAGACGATTGTCGACGTATTTGGGCCACTGCGACGTGACGGCCTGCTTCCAAACACAGTCTACGTATCGAACGTAACGGAGTGGCTAGGCATGATGGGTCCACGAGAAGACTTTTGGCCGCATAATACTTCAATACCAGACTGGAGAGTGAAAGAGCTGCAGAAGCAGTTCGACCTGGGCTACTGGAACGCCAAGTTTGGTTTATATGGCGCGAGAGATGTTGTGCAAGCGCATTTCGATCAGTTGAAGAAGATCATCGAGAAGAAGGCGCCGAAAGGTCGGTTGATGGGTAAGATATTCTCTGCGCCGGATGGAGAGACGTTGGATCCTGCATCCGTTCCCGAAATGGATGGTGGCTTCTTCGTTGGTATACCGACTCTCTGGTCGCTTCCCATGGTGAAGTTCCGCCTACCCAAGTCTGGGGGCGGTATCGGCGCGCATTACGACTACAGTCCCATCATTCCTTCCAAAGGCAAGGAGATCCTGAGCTGGGTCAAGACGGCGAAGAAGATCTGCGAAGCTGACAACTTTGATTTGTTCTGCGACTTCTTCATGCACGAGCGACACGGTAAGTCCTTACTTTCAAATGGTAGATGACGACACATACTGACGTTAATGTATGTATATAGTCATCTTCGTCAACATGTTTACCTTTGACAAGACAAACGCGACGCATCGGAAAGCCGTACAGAACATCTTTGACAACTTGTTTGAGGCGGGAAAGAAAAGAGGATACAGCAAGTATCGTAGCCATGTGAACACCATGGGTAAGCATTGGTTTTCTCGGGGCATGACTGCCTGTCTACAGCCACTAATTTTGATTCAGATCGGGTCGCTTCGCTGTACGATTTCAATGACCATGCGTATCGAAGATTTGTTGAGACGATCAAAGACGCTGTTGATCCTAATGGTATACTGTCGCCAGGAAAGCAAGGTATTTGGCCAAAGCGATTCCGAGATGATGAGGTTTCGAAGGCGCATCTATGAGCTGGGGTGTCCCTGACACTTGAGCTGCAAGCGCAGCAACGTGCTTATGTATTATTGAATGCATTGACCGAAGTGAGGTAGCTGGCTTGATCTCTCGTTCTGCATCCTTGTTTCTGTGATGATGCCTTGAGCTCGAGCTACTACCTCTCATGGCCTCAACATACTGCACTGGCACCTGTACGAACCATAGGCAACGTGCTGTGGACACACGGGGACTCGGATCGACACGACAGCAGTACACACCGGCTTGTAAGCTGGAGAAAGATGTATGTCCAATTATAGTCCTACACATCCACGAGATGTTCATGGGTAGGGTGGAGAAGACACGGCTCTGCTAAAAACCAATTTCAGTCTCCCACAGAGAGAAAAGTTGCTTCCAGGCCATAGAGAGCTGAACCCGGGAGCAGGCAATAGTGGGGTAGTAGCATACAACATGTACATGTGCGACGACTCGAAGAACGACAAACATTGATCGTTCTGCGTAGGAGCACGTGCCGCAACCTGTACATCGCGAGGTTGTTGGTGAGCAGCAGAGCGAGCTGGAGCTTGGGTTTTGATGAAAATTATCACGCTCGGACCCCTCTTTGTCAGCAGCGCTTGGCACCGCGCACCTGAAATTCTCGTCGCAGCTCGGGCACGCTTTCTCTTCCTTACACACAATCATAAAAATGGACGATTAATCAACGGCTATACTGAGCTCATCATCTCTATAGTTGTCATATTTGCGTCACTAGAGTAATACCTGGCACTTTTAGGCTTTTTGCTTCGATTTCTATGTTGCTTGAAGCCACCTGCGTGACCATACATACTAGCTTTTTTCGCTGTGTTCCAAGAAAAACATTGCTAGCTTGGACCTGAACTTGTGAGACGAGTTGTTTTCTCGGACTGTGAAGCAGCGACGACGCCGACGACGACGACTGCAACACCACCCAGCCGTTATGTGCCTTACGACCGGCTGGCCGACCGACCGGCAACGAAAGAAGATGGCTTCGGCCCTTCGAAAACCAGATCGGCAGCGTCTCTGAGTCGCGCCACTGAGCGCGCCTGCTGCTCATGCGCTGTCGTAAGCTGTCCCATCTCGATAGGCTGGCAGGACGACGATGGACTTTCGGGTGGAATGTTCGAAGCTCAGACAGGGGCATGGTGCCGTATATAGCCCAAAAACGCAGGGTTCTGGAGCTTCTGCGGGTTGCCATGTGTGTGAATGTGGAACGGATGCATTACTCGTCATCGCGTGTGTCAACTAAGGGCCGTACCAAGTCCCCTTTCTGTGCTCATGTTTTGCTTTGCTATGGAATTATTCTTTCTTGGGTAATCTTACATACGCGCCCTCTTGCCGTCTCTCAAGCCCCCTTTCCCCCCGCGTATTGCTCTCGTGCACGTTCTGCCGCGCCCCGATCTTCGACCTCCGCCCGAACCGCTTCCTCCTTCCAGACAAGATGGCGTCGGCCCTGAACAAGCGCCAGCAAGCGCGTAATGAGCGTACGTTACAGGAACTCATCAAGACAGTTCCAGGCAACGGAACTTGTGCCGACTGCGGTGCGCGGAATCCAGGTAAGTTGTGCAGGCGCATGCTGTCCGGGAGGCCCAATGCTAACCACATCACACAGGATGGGCGAGCTGGAGTGTAAGTCTCCCCATACAACAACGCGAAGCTATATACCTCTTAAACCCTATTGTCCGTCGACCGCCAACACAATACTGACGTTTGCTGTAGCTCGGCATCTTTCTGTGCATGCGATGCGCAGCCCTGCATCGCAAGCTGGGGACGCACATCTCCAAGGTCAAGTCTCTGAGTATGGATAAGTGGGACAATGCGCAAGTAGACGTAAGAACCGTCAGACTTCTGCGGCTCAAGTCCGGATGCTAATGCCTGGTTAGAATATGAAGCGCATTGGTAACCTCGAATCGAATAAGACATACAATCCGCGCAACGTCAAGCCCTCCATACCCATCGACATCGACGAGGTAGACAGTGCTATGGAGAGATACATACGGGCAAAATACGAGCAGAGAATATACTTGGACGCTTCGCGGCCGGGCACGCGACAGAACACGGGCAGTACGAGTTCTGAGGACCGACCACCGCCCTTACCACCCAAGCCGACTGGTCGCTTTGGCTTTGGGCTACGAAAGGCGGCGACATCACCGCGGAATCTGACGCCTCCACTGTCCCCAGGTCTAAGTGGCTTCAGTCAACAAGACCAATCACCTCCACGCATCAACAAGCCTTCCAGGGTCTTCGGTTCCAACATACATACTTCGGGCGATGGCATGGATTCCAAGCTGGCGCAGCTTCGGGACATGGGCTTCCCGGACGACAAGCGCAATTCTACGGTACTGAAGGGACTGAATGGTAACTTGGACAGGGCAGTCGAGGCTTTAATCAGGTTGGGCGAACAGGACCCTGGCAGGTCGAGAGGAAGCACTCCGACACCAGCTTCGCAACCGATGTCCAATGGCATTTCATTCGATAATCTGAACAGCGCACCTGCTACGACATCGTCTACGAACCCTTTCGACGCGCTAGATGCGCCTACTCAGCCTCAGCAGCAGCCACAACTTGCTCCGCTTCAAACCCAGCAGACCTCCTATGGGGGGCCGGCAGCACAGCAGGCCTACTCGTCCAACTCCTATAACCCATTCCTGCAACAATCCTCCCAAAGATATGTTCAGCAACAGGCCCCTCAGCAACAATCGCAGCAAAACTACGGCTATCAGCAAAACCCTTGGAATCAACAACAGCAAAACCTAGAACAATCCTTTCAGGGTATGCAAATTTCAAACCCACAGCCTCCACAACCTCTGTTCCCGAATCGAACAGGAGGAGCTGAATCCCAACCTTCATCCTTCCCTCAAACGAACCCCTACAACCAATCCTTCACTCCACCGCCGATGCCGCAAATACCTGAACAATACAGTGCTTTCTTTGCACCGCAACAGCCGCAGTACCAATCCATGTCCGACCCCTCAAGTCCCGGGAACCCCTTCTTGAGATCTTCGCAAAGCCAAATGTTTACCCCGACCAATCTTGCAAGCTCAAATCCATTCGGGCAGTCAACATTCCAGCAGCAACAGCAGTCTCAACCGCAGTCTGCTCACCCACAGTCGGCTCCACCACAGCAGCAAATGCCTAATCCTTGGTCGCAGCAGCAGCAGTCATCTCAATCACAGATAGCTTCTTCGCAGCAGCAGATGCCTAATCCTTGGTCACAACAACAGCAACAACAGCAGCAGTACAGCCAGGCTTCAACTCCTCAGACGGCGAATCCTTGGCAACCCCAACAATCGACCTATCAAACACAGGATCCAACTCAAAACTACCAAGCTCAGCAACAAAGTTTCCAGAACCAGCAGCAGCTATATCAACAACAAAGCTCTAATCCCTTCGACAAGAACGCTTCAATCCTCTCGCTGTACAATCAACCTCAACAGACTACCCAGCAAGCGCCACAGCAACAAGCTCAACCCACAGCTGTGCAAGCTTCAACTCCTGTTGCGCAAGCACCCGGGCGCTCAAATCCGTTTGGTGGTATGTCTGGTGCGCCACAAGGGCAAGCACTATCCGCTGCACAAACACCTGGCATTAGGCATGTCAGCAACGAGAGCGTGGACTTTGCGGGTTTGATGGGTGGACGGCACTCGCCTGACGCTTTCTCGGGCTTGAGTGCGAGCTTCAGGCGGTAGACGGGCAGAACCCCAACGCATAATATTTTGAGATGTGCGCAACTGGCTAAAGCAATTCTTCTTTGTTGATACATTTGGTTTGTAAGGAAGTGTGGTATTGGATATCAGAAAGAAGAGTAGGTAGTGGTAGTAAGACCGACGAGAGTGTAGGTAAGGTTTGCTGTATGATACCTAGCAAGGAGGTGCGCTGCATCACCTTTACATTAATTATTATCTCATTCTACACCTTTACGAACTGAAATCTGCACTGGCTCAAACCTAAGCAAGTCGACTTGTATGCTCTGCTTTCACTCGTTGCAAGAGTTGGCTCAATTTTCTTACTGCGTATGTACTTTCAATCTATCCGACGTCTGGACCCGGGGCATTACAATCCAGAACTTGGCGACAAGCCATGTATGGCTGTCGAAATTCAAATGTTTTGGGGCACACAGATAAGCTGTGTTCACGTGCAAACGTGAAGCCACTGTGGCTAGACCTCTCGCGTCTACGTCATTGCTCTGAGCCGCGTACCTGACCCTGAACCACCCACCACTCTTCGTATCAACCTGCCTCCTCACTTGTCCAAATCTTGCTTCTTGATTTAGTCACCTACTCAGTCCTCAATTCGACCATAATAGCTCTTCAAGCAACATATCAAGCCTTCCAGATCAGCCAGCACCATGGGTGAGATACATAGCAGCCTGGTAATCTAACTTCAACTAACTTCGAGCAGCTCCTCCAGCAGACTATTGTAGGCGCGCATAGCTTCGCGGCCCTTGGTTCCAAGCTCATACAATACCACAGACAAGGTTCTAGAAGTTGACTCAAAGGCGACTCAGCAACAAATCCGTGATGCCTACAAGAAGTGCACCTCACCCCTCCTTACAAACTTCTTTGCACAAACCCTAAAATACTCCACAGGGCAGCGCTAAAACACCACCCCGATCGTGTTCCATCTGATTCTCCTGAGCGCGCGAGTCGTACGAAGCGCTTCCAGCAAATCAACGACGCCTACTACACGTTATCGGACCCCACGCGACGCCGCGACTATGACGCTGCACGTACCTACAATAGCTTCACAGGCAGCACCGCAACACCAGACGAGGAGTTTGACGAGGAAATTCCCAACAATGCAGGCGCAGGCGCAGGTTTTGCCCAAGGCTTCCCGTGGTCCGCATTCGGCTTCGGCAGCGCTCCAGCCGGCAACACAGAAGAATCGCACAACCGCTTCTCTGAAGAGCAGTTTGGCGGTATCTTTGAGGAGATGTTACGGGAAGAGGGCATGGCAGATCAGGATGCGCATCCTACGGGCAAGTTCTGGAGTATTGTGGGTGGTCTGAGTGGAGGCGCCATGGGTTTTATTGTAGCAAACTTCCCTGGCATGGTCGCTGGCGCTGTTGCTGGAAACAGGCTAGGAGCCGTAAGAGATACAAAGGGGAAGAGTGTTTATGCGGTTTTCCAGGAGATGCCGCAGGCAGACAAGGCGAGGTTGCTGAGCGGGCTCGCGGCTAAGGTTTTTGCTAATGTCGTGTCTGGTTGATGGGGCATCAAGAAAAGGGGAGGCATGAAGCGATGGGTTTACATGGGCTGTATGACTGACGATATCCTTGAGAGTTTCTTTGGTAACTTTTCACCTTTTGCTTAAAACGAGAACTATTTATGACACATAAACTTCGTGTTGTCACTGATTCTCATGCTTATAAAGTGAATAGAGACCTATGAAGAAAGTATGTTTGTATCTGCATCTGAACGCCATGTAGGTCTAAGCCTACGCAAAGGAGGGATATCTCTAATAAATAACATGAAAGGCCCAAGATAAAAAGAGGAGAAAGCGTGGTGGGAATGCCAACACACGCTTCTCCTCATGCTGTCGTAACGTCGTGCCACAACAAAACAAAAATGCCGCCTTTTACCAGGTGTGACAACCAAGATCCCACCTCTTCCTCATCTCCTCATGTCACCAATCATTCCTACTCCCTGTGAGATTCCCCACGACCCTCGTGATAGTAAAGATATTCTCAACCGTTCCTAGAAGAAAGAGGCGTCAGCCTCCCTTCCGCTTTACATGAACTTGCTTGCCATACTCGCCAAGTTAGCCAGCCCACCGATTCCGCCTGCTACACTCTGCATGTCGATATTGCCAAGTCCCGCCATCATGCCTCCGCCACCATTACTCGGGCCGCTTCGGCTGCTTTCCATGCCATATCCCTGACTACCATAGTAGCCGCCACTGGCACCTCCACTGCTGCTGTGGTGACCGGAGCCCGAGTACCCGCCTCTTGCTCCCTGTCCACCCATCTCGGGTAGGTTGACACCGAACTGGCGAGCAAGTTTATGGAGGACACCGCCAGAGACGAGCGGCATGATGACCATGAAGAAGACTTTGTAGGGATGGCGTTGAGCGTAGCGCCAGATTTCTCGGAGAAAATGTTGTAGTTTTTTGTAGAGGTGTTGCATGTACGAGTCGCGGGGTGAGCGCTTGTACCGCGATGTTGAGCTGTGGTGGCGCGATGATGAAGAGTAGGACGAGGAAGCGTAGCCGGGGCGGTAGGATGATGAGCGTCGTGAGGGCGAGCCCGTGGAAAAGGGGTTCCAACTGCTACCCATGGTGTTTGTTTGTGTGGCGTCGGAAGATGATATGAGTAGAGTTGGTTTTGGGAGGAGTGAGGCTGTAAGTGGTATTGACGATCCCCTGGGGTTGTTTGTTGATCGCGATGTATGTGCGCGAACGACAGATGTCGGGATGCGATGGTGTAATGTGTACTTGGACGCCCAGCGCATTCAGCGCAAAGTACGTTGATATGGTATTTGCGTGTGGATGAGGTTTGTCGACAACAATGACTATGACTGTGAGTCTTGTGCCAGCGCAACGACGTCCAGGGTCTAGAAGAGCTGTCGCAACAAAAGTCCGGTGAAGGGAGTGGGTCTCTTGGGCTTCAATCGCCTCCTCTTCGCCTCATTTACAGAGGTTTTCCCTGCTTCCTTGCCCTGCGTTGCCTGATGACGCCCTACCAATCAACTAGATCGGAGCGCGCAACCCAACTCTCAAACTGCTATGACAACACTGGCCACCGTGCGCGAAACAGAATATAGAAATGACTAGTAGGGAACACGTCAACGGGTAGAAAGACCACAAAATATGGCACGGTTGGGGAATGCGGCGGGCTTGCTGGTGAAGGAAGGAACTTTGGCCAGCTTAAAGATGTGCGCGAACTTGTGGAGCTGAGAGGAGTGATCGTCGCAGCTACCAGACCGCTCTTTGGTGGTTGGGCGGACTGCGTAGCCCTGCAGGTACCGCCACCTCGATTTATGCCGACCCAGATGGCACTTGTGCAGTGCACGATGATGTGCGTGAACCATGAAAATCACGTAGGTTATTCGTCTTTACGCGAGAAGGATGCTACGCAAATGGACGTTGAATTTCTTACATCAATATCGATTGATATCTGATACTGCTCCGAGATTCTTGACATGGTTGCGGACAGAATTCTCCTTGTGCAACGGTCGTTTGTGCGCGCACCCCTGTGGCATAAGTGCCTGCAAGACCGTTGGAAATGTTCGAGACCCAGATGCAGCTGCAAGATGCAGATGCAGCACACGCAATATGGCATTCAACAAAACGTGCTAAGGTCTGGATTAAGTCGGCCGACCCGTTCCTGCATACCCTTTTTCCCCGGTCGAGCCACGTTTGACGGATTGAGAGTCAGATCGAATGACTGTTATCGAACAACACACATCAGTGGAGAAAACAATACATATATGTATCAGTACAACAGAATAACCAAGGGTCCACCACATACGTGGCCGTCTTTTACGCCCTGTATCTCATGCAATGTCTACGAAAGCAATAATCGATTGGATCACAATTACCAAAATCAAGAGCAAGGGATATCTGTCATGATCGATTAGAGCACGATGCTTTATCCTTTCTTCCTACTTTTACCACTCTTCCGCCGTCTTTCTCCATGTCCACCGCCACTGGCTCTCGTAGCTTCCTGAGCTTGAACTGGAATAGCAGAACTTGATGCTGAAGGTGACAAAGCTGGGTCCGACTGGCCAACATGACTGGCCGCCACAGGTGCTGCTCGCTGAAGCGTCACTGACGCAGGAGCGGGAACAGGAACACGTCGCGGGACCGATGTATAGCTGGCCTCAGATACACCCGAACTCACTCTCCGTGTATACTGTGGTTGAGGCGAAGCTGTTGAGGAAGAAGACGCCGGACTGAAAGTATGGTACTGATAAGGCTCCACAGGAAACGGCACAAGTCCAGCAGACTGGATGGAAGACGATCTTGTGCGTGTGCCTTGTGGAAGATCAGCCTCGTAAGCAGCTTGCCGAGAGGATATAGAACGACCTTGCCGTGGAGGGGTAGCCGGGCGGTAATCATACTCGGATTCTGGAAAGGCGCCCAACATGTCCCGAGAGAAACTGGCATGCGAAAGCGGGGGAGTATGATGACTAGTATCAGATGCGGAACGGGACGCGGGACTTAAAGGCTCCCGTTCACGATCCAGGTTACCCTGGTAGGCATTGATGGGTGCATACATAGGCTGCCCGTCCGGGCCAGGTATAACGAAGCCTGGTGGCGATGCACGACTATCTGTAGTGGATGTACGTTTGTGACTGCTAGACTTCTCCTTCTTCGACTTTGACCCGAAGATGGAACTCCGCTGCTGGTTCTTCTTCGACCTGGAGGAACTGCCGTGCTTGCTAGTCGTATCAACGCTGATCATACTTGCGGCATCGTGTGAAGAAGTATTGCTTGGTCGAGACTGGGGTTCAGGGCGAACTGCGGTCGATCTTGGGCCATAAAGTCTTGAGTGATACGCGTCTAGCTCCTCTGGGCTCAACGATACGTCTGTATTTCCTGCCGCTCTTGCTATCCGAATTTTATCGAGTACTCGTCGGAAAAGTACTTCTTCGTGTTCAGCGGAATTGACATTGTTGCCCATATCGTCAAGATAACCATCCTGATGGTCTGGCCGATATGCTGCCTCACCCAAAGCCGATGTCCTTCGCTCCCATGCTCTAATATCCATATCATTAAAGTATAGTTCATCTGGATTGATGCTCTTGCCATTTAAGGCCGGTTGGAACGCCTGACTTAATTCAACGCCACCCTTCTCGTCTTCACTATCCAATTCTTGAAACCTATGAACGTCGTCTTGCACTCCCTCGTAATATCTCCCCACACCCGACGAGCCCCCTGGTGGTCTTCCCCATGGGGGCATAGCGTAAGGAGTTCGCGGCCGACCACCTAGACCGCCTCCTCGGAAAAAGCTGACTCGATGGGCTTGTCCATGAATGCAGCATGGCCCACAACTGTGACACCAGTTGCGCCAATCAGCCAGAGAACTGTAGTAAAGGGCGAGGCCCAGAGTCCAAGAGGAATTGCAATGACGAAAAGCGTAGTGTACAGCTGAGAGGTAGTGGCACGCCAGCTACCGAGCTGGAGATCATTTCCCTCTAGTTTGCCGATTCCGAACATGCCACCAACTACGAGGCAGATGACGAAGAGAAGCATCAAGTTGGTGAGCAGACTGTAGATGCTGAGCATGACGAAAACAGCGGCATAGTTGCTCGAAAAGTAGCCCAAGTTGTAGTTGACCCTGCTCTGTACCTCGCTAAAGTTGGCGGGCTTAGAAACACGCTTGAAGTCGAAGAACTCGGAGATGGGTCGCAGATTGGCGAACCGAGAGGAGACGGAAGTGTTGCGCAGACCGTCGAAACGTCCACCGAGGTTCATCCTGGATGTCAGGGCATCGATGGGAATGCTGAAGCGCGACATGACGGATGGTGTGTTGGCTGTGGGTTGAGGGGCGGGTGATGCTTGCTGGCGTTGGTCGGGGGTAATGAGGGTCTGCTGTTGTTCTTCAAGATCTTTGGGGGAAGTCATGGTCAGTTCAGGCGCTGATAGTGGTGAAGAGATCGAGGGAAGGCTGGAGATGTGTCCTCTTGCCAGGAATGAGGTTGTAGTGTTTATAGTGGATGGCTGCCTTACGTTGGGGGAAAGATTCGCGAGAGAGTGAATAAGCTGACGCGGCTGAAGTGAGCGTAGGTGAAATGGAAGTGGTGTGGGAGGAGAGGGTTGCGTGTCGCTGTCCGTATTGGAACTTTTGTTGGCCCTTGCCGCGAATCCCGTAGTTCAGGGTCGTGCCTGCCCATACAACACAGCCACAGAGCGCTCAAACCGTCAGCCCTGATCCCCTTAGCCGAATCTCACATGCAAGTCCTGGAGAGGCCACATTTTTTGTTTCGAACTCGGCAGCTTGGGGTGAAAGCGGATAGCAAGAGCACCGGGAAAGGCTTCACTTTATCTCTTGAGCCTGCTACCATTGTGTCTCATTTGTAGCGGTCAGACCGATCGGGCCACGTTCCGTCTCTACAGCGGGCTCACGGCACTAGAACATCTGGCTGCACAGGCCTGCAGCCTCCCTATCACTTTGCTCCAAGACCCGCCAACTTTCCAGGCAACCTCCCGGATCAACCCCAGCCATGAGATCTCACGCGTTGCTCGCATTGGTCTTGTGCCTCTTTGCAGCATTCGCCGCTGCCTGGACCAAAGAGGGTGCGTAGCTTCTCCTGTCGTGTCTCGTCTTCCATTGCATGCTTGCGGCCACATATGCGCCTTCCCCACATGCCTTTCCCCAGCTCCAGCTACGAGCTACTTGCTGACAGCTTCCGGCAGACCACGAAATCTTCCGTATCCGTGACGAAGTGGCCAAAGCAGACGGCGCCAATGTCACCTTCTACGATCTCCTCGGTGTCAAGCCCAGCGCCTCCCAAGACCAATTGACCCAAGCCCTCCGCAAGAAGTCGCGCGAACTTCACCCGGACAAGGCCCGCAAGGTCTTTGTTGCCAACTATGCTAAGAAGAACAACAAGAAGAAGCCAACCAACAAGGAAATTGAGGCACACTTGAAGAAAGTCACCGCCGCCTACCAGCGTCTTTCCGTCGTTGGAAAGATGCTCAAGGGCGCCGAGCGCGAGCGCTACGACCACTTCCTGAGGAACGGCTTCCCAGCATGGAGGGGCTCTGGCTACTACTATGAGCGCTTCCGTCCTGGCCTTGGCTCAGTCATTGTCGGTCTACTCGCTGTGTTCGGTGGAGGCTTCCACTACTTCGCTCTGTTGATGTCATGGAAGCGTCGCAGGGAGTTTGCTGAGAGGTACATTCGCCAGGCACGCAAGACTGCCTGGGGTGATGAGAGTGGTCTTCAGGGCATCCCTGGAGTCGACGATACCGCCGCACCTGTCAACGCCGAACAGTTCGAGAAGGATTCTGCCGAGGATACACCAGAGGAGCTAGCCCCACGCAACCGTCGCGAGAGGCGCGCTATGGAGAAGGACGCTCGCAAGCCAAAGAAGGCGCAAGCTGTGAAAAAGGCCCGCGCCGATGGCATCAGCACCCCCGTTGAGGCAGAGGTCATCTCTGGTCCTCAAGGAGCCAAGAAGCGCATCGTCGCTGAGAACGGCAAAGTCTTGGTCGTTGATTCCGTTGGTAATGTTTTCTTGGAAATTGAGAACGAGGATGGTATGAAGGGTGAATACTTGGTCGACGTACGTACATTCAACTCTTCGAGACATTCAATAAGCTAATAGCATACAGCCTGATGAGGAGCCTAAGCCTACTATCTACGACACCCTCCTGTTCAAGCTGCCCAAGTTTGCTTACAACCAGTCAGTCGGACGTGTCCTTGGAAAGAAAGAGATGATTGACGCTCCATTGCTTGAGACCTCTAATCTAACCGAGGAGGAGGCCGCCATCCAGAATGCCACCGCGCCCAACCTTAACGGCGAGGCAAGGAAACGCAAGGCCATGGCCAAGAAGGCAAGGTAACTGCTTGCGTGCGACATAGCATATGCTGTAATGTTACAAAAGTTTAGCATCTATGTTTGGTTGTTGGTAGACAAAAAGGGTACTGGACTATGCATGTGCGTGTAAGATACAGAGATAGACTACAATATGAGCCACGCAATGCGAAGAGCTTTGAGCACTCGCACCAAATGCCCTGTGTCGCCGAGATCTTTTCTACTCGTCATGAGTGCATCTGCAAACCAACCGCAGGCCTACATGCTAATCAAAGAAGCATTAGTGTGCGGAGTACATAGCTCCAGCGCTACCAGCACCGACTGTAGTACACGCCGCTTCCAAGTTTCCTGCCACCACTTTCACCAAGTTCGAAGGAACAACAAGTCCGCAACTCGCTCTTTGACAACGGTTCATTATGGGACTAGTATGTAAATCTACAGGCAGTACCTCGAGCTCAAACGACCCTGCGATGCGCACACATGCTAAACGTACAAGAACAGAAACTCCCCCCACTCTTTTCAAACGCCGACTAAACGCCAACATGATTAACGAGCATCCATGGATACTTCCCTACGATCATAAGAGAAACGTGACAACAATAGTAATAAGAACGCTTGAAGATGGCAGACTCGGACAGTCCCCCCAAACCCGAAGCCGGTACCACAGTCAGAGCAAGTGACGAAAAAGCAACCTGCATGAGATGGTATCACAAGCCAAGCAGTGAACCCGAAAGCAAGGAGACCCGCACGCATGCATGCAAGCAAAACATAAACAAGAACCTCTTTCTCTTTTTCACTTCCTCTTTCCTCGCCTGCTCACACACGGTAATAATCTTCTATCATGGACAAAGTGCTTGCAGACACTGCTCTAGCGCGTTCCACCTCCGACGCATACGCGAACCGGTATACGCCAAACGGACTCTTCTTGAGCGTACTACTTCCCACGCTCACAGTACGCTGTTTTGCAGGCTGCTGTTCGAGATCCAACTAGAATCGTTCTCTTGATCCGTTGCCGTGGTTCTCGAACAGATCGTCTAGATAACCACTGGGAGTCCGGCCGCCAGGGACATTTGTGCCGCCAGGTACATTCAGCGACAACTGGCTTACGGCGTGGCCGTCTTGACCGTAGATGCTTCTCGTATTACCGGGTTGGCCGAGAGTTGCAACGCTGTTACGGTTGTATACAGATAAGCCGTCTCGTGATGGTGGCGCGCGAGCATATCCCCCGCGTGACGGTGGCAGTGATGGCGATTCCGGTGGTGACATACCGGATCTTGCGCTAAATCGGTTTCCTGGGGTGGAGAGGGAGAGCGCTGAAAGATTATTGGGGTTCTGGCCTCCGATGTGCATCTGTGGTGATCCAGCAGCAGGGGCTGCGTTACCAGATGCGTAGTATCCTGCAGGAAGATAGGTAGAAGATCGGGCCGCTACAGAATCCCGCAAACCGGCGGCGCCACCTGCAGTTGGAGAGAAGAACAAGGACGATGCCGATTTCTGTGCTGCAGGCGCACCAGCGAAAGCTTTCGACGACTTGCCAATGGGGGCGGCGTTTAGGTGATCCAGAGACATGGTCGAACTCGCTCCGACCACATTGTACATTCCCCGCTTCTTACCAGGCACTGCTGACATGGCCTTGATATCAGCCATGTTCTGAGCCATGGCCGCCCGCTTGACAGAACGATGCAACGACCACGCAACGAGACCGCGCCACGCCAACACCGCCGCACCGAAGAAGGCGAGAATGGCACCGACGCAGATGAAGACGGTTCCATCTGGAAGATCGGACTTTTGCATAAAGGCAGCACCGGCTGTGTCTGGGACTTTGACATCCGGGATACCGATACCGGCTAGTGTTGGCGCACCTACAAGATTGAACACACTCGTAGACCCTGTCTGGGCAGCCGTACTAGAGGGCGTATCTCCTGTTGTTGCGGCCTCGGTGGTCTCGGAGGTGGCGACTTGCGATGTGGTTGCAGCTTCTGAAGTCGCTGCTTGTGATGTCTCGGCGGCGGAGGTCTCGGCTGTGTTTGTCGCTGCGTCGCCTCCTGGTTGCGTGACAGTGGATAGGTCGGGTGCGTTCTCGATTTGAGCGAGTACGGTAGGAGCGACAACGAGCAGCAGGCCTGCGAGGCCCACAAAGGGTCGCATCGTGGGTTGTTGTGTATAGGTGTGTGCGGAGGTAGGGTCGCCGATGGGCAGTGTGCGGAAGGGGCCGAGTGGGTTCAGGAGATGGCGTGGTCAAGGCTCGCAGTCCAGCAGGCGTATTTCAAGACTCGATTGGTGAAGGAAAAGCAAGGAGAGGAAGACGCAATCGCAGGTGATATCGATAGGACAGAGAAGCGCCGAAACGAGTGACGGGGAACGAGAGGAAAGGCTGATGGTGGAGTGCAAGACGGGGTCAGGGTAACAAGGGGCGGAGTCGTGGACCCGCTGGCAATACGCGTAGTCTGAGCGCCCAGTTCGCGTGATGTCTGGCCGTATTCGATGTAGACTAGCGATAGGAATTTTATCGAAAGAGACAATAATTAGAAGCAGGTTGCTTTGCGCGATGATGGAACAATCCGCGTGCCAGGCCTGGAAGCAAACGGCTGTTGACGTCTGCACTGGTTGTCTGGCTCAGGGATGCAGGAAAAACATCGGTATGCAGGGCCAACGATGACAGATCCCAACCCAGGAACGTCGCTTCTATTCTGGGACCTGCGTGATTCGAGTGCTTAGGGCTTAGCGTCGAGCTCTTTTCCTCTGTCAAGCCCACCAATCGGCGCCTCGACCCTCCGACGGCCTCATTCTCTTGGCATCAAAAAGCTGCCGCCCTTATCGATAGCAAAAAGTGGTTTGCGAACAATCCACCAGCACCACACGACTGCGATCCTGACGACTGCGCGAGCCATTACTTTCACCCTCCAACGCTACATCGCTAGAAACGTAGCGAAACACAAGGAGCTTCATAGACGACTGAAGCTCGCCGACGAGGGTCCCAGGACCGCGTGCAACCATGGGTGTCGCGAAGAGAACGCGCAAGTTTGCGCAGACGAAGAGGATCGTTGGTATGTGTGGCGTCATGTCTAGATGAGCTTCTGTTAACACTATCAGGTCAACGAGATGCTCGACTGTATGCGACAACGCGCCCCACTGCTGTTTGCGACGTAAGAGCTGATCATACTGCAGTAAGAAGAATCAAATGGCTGGTGAGATAGAAGCAAAGAAGAAGGAGGATGAAAACAAGGCAAAGCGAGAAATGTATGTATCTCGGATTTCGATTCGAGTAAAGAGCAGGCACGACTGACACTTTACAGCCCACAAGTCTCCTCGGCCCTCTTCTTCCAAGCCAACACTGCCCTCGGCCCGCCCTACTCCGTCCTCGTGGACACCAACTTCCTCTCTCACACGGTGCACGCCAAGCTCGAACTCGACAAGGCCCTCATGGATCTTCTCTACGCCAAGGCCACTCCAATTATCACGACCTGCGTTATGGCTGAGCTCGAGAAACTCGGCCCAAAATACCGTATTGCGCTCAGGATCGCTCGCGACGAGAGATGGCAGCGCCTCAAGTGCGAACACAAGGGCACTTACGCCGATGATTGTATTGTGGACAGGGTCCAGAAACACAGAATCTACCTGGTCGCGACAAACGATAGGGATCTCAAGAGGCGCATAAGGAAGATTCCTGGTGTGCCGATTGTTAGCGTTGCAAAGGGCAAATACGTTATCGAGAGGTTGCCAGACGTGCCTGATAGCCATTAAGCTGGGGACAAGGATAATGCGAATAGGGCCAAAATGGGTTATATGCATAGCGAAAGGCGTTCAGGTCATACCAAGCAGTCGATGCTATCTCAACAAGTATTTCCACAATCATCGAAAGAAAGAATGAATCATCAGCTCACATGTGGTTTTACAAGCAATCCGGAACCTTTTGATGTTTAGGTTCATTTGCATGTACGACGAGTGAAAGCTTGGTATGAACAATTTAAAATGCAGGATCTCGCAGCTACAGACATTCTATATGAGCGTCAAACACAGCGCTCAGCACAGCTACCACCGGCCGAGCACTGGTTTTCTGTCCAGCAATCCATGACATCTACGAACCGGACGCCTGCCCAATGCGAAAGCACCCTACTCGCTCAACAATGCCGAACGCTCCAAACGAAGATGAAAAGTGATGAAGATGTAGAACAGTGAAGGATAAAGGTGTAGAAGAGAACAGCGCTCTCAGTACACGGAACAGCTTGTCTGGGCCCGAGTAAGAGCCTGCGTGAACATAGTCTGCATGGCCATGTAGTGGAAGATGATACCTCCCAGCACAGCAACATGCCAGATGTTGTGGGAGCAGCCTACGTAATCGAAGAAGCCAGGAAAGAAGCGTTCGGGCGTCTTGCTCGCATACAACAATGCACCGGTAACGTACACGAGCAAACTCTTAGTGACGGGCGCGTAGAAGTACTGTGCCCATGCGACGCCACGGGTATACGCGAGCTGGCCAAAGGGCAGGAAGCCAGTCAGGGCGAGGGAGCAGTAGAAGAGAACGCGGAGCCAGGCCATGTCCGCTCGATTGAAGGTCGGATGCCAGGGTAGAATAACGCCGCCAACGCCGAGAAGTGCTGTTATGCACATGTATGACCAGCGGGAGACGGGTTCGCAGTAGAATGCGGCGTATTCAGTCGTCATGATAGATGCGGCGACGAGTAAAGAGATACCAGTGTAATCTACACAGGCGAAGCGTTCAAGCAATGTTTGGTGTGATATGCTGTTCATCGTGTGCCAAATGGTCGAACAAGCCAGGCATTTGCATGCCGCAAAGAAGAAAACTGCCGCTATGAAGATGTCGGCCTTGGTCGACATGCTGAAGTTGGCACTCGAAGGGTAGAAGTAGAAGGCAATGGCAAGAACCATGATGAATCCGAGGAGATGTGTCCAGATATTGATTAGCTCGTTGTGGAGGCCGAAAATGGATCGAACGCAAGCCCACTTTCCTTCTTGAAAACGGTAGCCCTTGAGGATATGTGGGTTGACTCGCCATGGCTCTGGTAGATCCTCGTAGTGTATCAGGCCGTGTGCTTTGGCTCGCTCTAAGGCCCGTTGGACGGCGTGCTCAACTCGGAGTTCAATCGTTTCACGCGCGCGTCGTGCCTTGTCTAGACCACCGTCCACAACACCCTTTGCGATCTCGATTCCCTCGTCCATCTTTCTCCGACCTTCCTCATAGAATTCCTGTGCATAGGAACCGATCGATCCGTCTCTTATGGCGTATGCGCGCGTCTCAAACTCGGTCAGATAGTTGTCCATAAGCACTATTCCTTCCAAGACCTTCTCTCCTAGGGTCTCTTTCCGTTCCATCGCATCTTTGTAACGGCCCTCCAATGTCTCGACGAATACGGAAGCCTGTCGTCGTCCGGCCTCGATTGCGCCATCGGATATCTTCGAGCAGGATTCGCGAACGGCAAGCAGGGTGTTGTATGCGTATTCGACACCGGCGTCGTACTTGAGGTGGCCATAGTCTTCCAGGAAGTCCATCCGGCAATTGAGTTCGACCAAGAAGTTTCGAAGCTACATACTTGTTAGTACATGGTAAGCGCATACGTACTGATTTACTTACCAACAACTGGAAGTTCTCTGCTTCCTGCATGCAGGGTCGTGTATGCCATGAGTGACGTCTTTGGCGTTGCGCAGGTCTCTGGGGAGCGATTGTGCCGTAACCTCGGTACGTGGGTTGTATAGGCTCTTCTTGTGAAGCCATAACTGCTGTGCTTACCCCAACGCTCGAGTTCGAGCGCGGCATGCGGGGCATCGTTATATAAGTCTGGCGCGAAGCTGCGCGGGGCTGTTCGAGGCGTGGCGATCTCTCTCGTTCGACGTTCCAATCGATATCGGGCCCAAATTACGAGGGTGCAGCAAGGCGCGGGGAGGTAAGGCGATTGGCTGATATGCGCATGTGCACAGAACGTCTCTCTGGCTGGGTGACCGCCTCTGCTTGTGGTGTTGGGAAAGATAAATAGTGAGGATGTGGGTCTTTTTCTCCGCCTATCGGGGTGACTAGCAACGGGCGTGGTTGCCGAAAACGTCTTGGTTGGACGACACAGTCCTGATGGGGCGAACAACTAGAGGGAGCAATGTCTTCTTGTATTGTACAGAATGGGGTCGAAGCAAAGGCACGGGAGAGTCAATTGAGTGCGTAGCGTACAGGCATGGGGTCCGAGTGTTGGCGTCGTCATGGGGCTACCGCGGTCAATTCACTGTCGGGTTCCTGACACTAGGACCCTTTATTTCTGCGGCTCTTGTAGGGCTGAGATGCTGCACTTTTCAGGTGGCAGTGAAGGGTTCCATCTAAAGTGTCTGTTCCGTCTCCTTTGATACAGATATCGCCCAAGATACTCGCTATACAGCAGAAATGAAAACTCGACGGTTCATGTTTGTCCGGCTCGAACACTGAGGCCGTTGACGGCCTCGCCTATACCGGCAGGTGCGTTGCTTGGTGGCTGAACCCGGCCTTGGCAATGAGCCACACGTGGCTTGATTTCGTCATCGCGTGCCGTCATCCCGAGGTGTCAAAACTTACGACCTTTGGCGGAGCAGCGGATGGTTGATACCAGGCTATAGACCGTAAATGCTTCGTTTGTATTATGCTGTGTAACTTGCTTTGGGCCGCACGCATGTTTAGGCCCAGACGTTCCCACGTGCTAGCGTCAATGTCCGCGGTCTCCGCGGGATGGGGCTATTGAAACCCAACGCTCACCATCTTGGCATTTAATTTTTTGCGGCACGTTGGAGTGATACACCAAACTATCGACTTTTCGAAATGGTACTCCAAGCTATCAAATACTCGCGCGGCCAGCTCGAGATTCTCGACCAGCTGAAACTACCCCACGCTGAAGAATATGATGGCATCTACTCCAGCACTGATGCATGGCACGCAATCAAGGATATGCGAACGCGAGGAGCGCCAGCTATCGCCATAGTCGCTGCTCTCGCTCTCGCAGTTGAGCTCACAAACACGAAGCTTTCTTCAGTAGCAGAAGAGGTCAAGATTTTCATTACAGAAAAGCTGGACTACCTGGTAACGAGCAGACCAACTGCCGTCAACCTTGCAGACGCAGCTGGCAAGCTTCGGAAAATTACCGAGGAAGCTGCTGCGAGTGAGGGAGCGAGTGGAGAAGCCGTGAGAGAAGCATATGTTGCCGCTGCCGAGAAGATGTTGGTCGACGACGTGAGCGACAATGAGAATATCGGCAAGCATGGCGCGGAGTGGATAATGAAAAATACGGAGGCAGGAAAGCAGGGACCTGTGAGCATGATGACACACTGCAACACCGGGTGTGTACGATTCTGCATCAGATATTTTCAACTGCTAATCGTACAGATCCCTCGCAACTGCAGGATATGGTACAGCGCTTGGAGTGATCCGATCTCTACATGCCAATGGATCGTTGAAGCACGCCTTCTGCTCTGAAACGCGACCATACAACCAAGGCTCCAGACTGACAGCATTTGAGCTGGTCCACGACAAGATACCGGCAACTCTCATCACAGACTCCATGGCCGCAGCGCTACTCCGACTACGGGGTGGAAGCGAGAATATTGCGGGTATCGTGGTTGGTGCTGACCGGGTGGCCGCAAATGGTGATACTGCCAACAAGATTGGAACCTATTCATTAGCCATTCTTGCAAAGCACCACGGCGTCAAGTTCCTGGTTGCAGCACCGAGGACTACTATTGACCTGAAGACCAAATCGGGGTCAGACATCGTCATCGAAGAACGCCCAGGGAAGGAAGTGACGCTCGTCAAAGGACCGAGACACGATGGAGTCACGCTAGATCTTGGTGTTGTTGAGACTATCAGTATTGCAGCCAACGGTATCGGTGTATGGAACCCAGCTTTTGACGTCACACCTGCAGAACTTATTGATGGTATTATCACCGAGGTAGGTGTGGTTGAGAAGGACAGCAATGGTGTGTTCCATTTGGATGAAGTCTTTAAGATGGAGGGTTCCGAAGTAAAGCCCTCGACTGTCGGTGGCTTGTGAACAGGTACCCAAGAGCACGTACAAGCGCATGCTATGCCCCCTTAATGCTAAGACTCCAACATGTCCATTCTGCTAAGAGCGCATTGATCATGCTTGTATCCATCCTCGCTCGTGTCATCCATCATGCTCATGAGAACGAGGGTACTCGGTCGTTATTCTCGTAGTATTCACGGCGTGCTTGCAATATATCCGACCCAGAGTTGGTGCAGGGTGTACATGGTTCATATCGCAGAGCAGACGCATGGCTTTGTAGATCTTATTTGGAACCCTTTTCTTCGGTTCCGGAAGACTTGTCAGGATCTTCCGGAGTATCTTTCAACTCTTGCTCGGCCTTCTCGGCTTGCGCCAGGAGTGCCTCAATCTTTTTTTCAATAGAATCGAGGTGACTCTCCAGGGCGGCTGCGGTCTGTTCGCCTCGCTGCAGTTCCTTGAACGCCTACCCGAGCTGTTAATTCCCAAAGTACAGCAATTGCCACAAAACTCACTTGGGCAAGATCAGCCTCGGAATGCGATGCAGCACCTGCGCCGTTCTGTGCGTTCGACATGATGAAGATGATGTAAGAGTAGTGGATGTCGGGTCCTGGTGCTTACCGACGAGGCAAGCGCGTCCTCGAAGATGACGACTGAAGCACCTTAGCGCGAACTTACCCTGGGACCTCCAGGGCTGCGCGAGCAGCACAGACTCTCAACCTCCCTCATTACACCTTTCGCCATTCCCGCCCGTACGCGCTCCTTACATCTTTCTAGTTCTTGTACCGCATGCGCGCATCTCCACTGCTCTAATCGACCCGCGATAACTCGCCCGCCATGTTCTCTGGGTCCAACTCGTACTTAGGGGGTGGGAACAGTGCCCGACCGGGGCAGCCTCAGTATGGGCAGCAGCAGCAACAGCAGCCCTTCCAGCAGCCTGGAGGCTTTCAGGGTGGATTGGCACCTCAGCCGACGGGATTCGGAGGAGCTCCAATGCAACCACAGTTTACTGGCTTTCCGGGCCAGCCGCAGGGCTTCGGACAGCAGCCAACGGGCATGCAACCGCAGTACACAGGCTTCCCAGGGCAGCAGAACCAGCAATTCCAGCAGCAGCAGCAGGCTCCCCAGCAGATGCCCTTCCAGACTGGCCCGCCGCCGCAACAGCAGCAGCAACAACCGCCTGCTCAACCGCAACGGCCGCAGCCCACGGGCATGACATCGGCGCAGATGGCTGATTCGTTCCGCGGCAGCTCTGCGTCTTCAGTGCCACCACCCGTTCCTGCCAAGACGACCAAGATCCCGAACATACGGCTGTCCTTCATCACGGCGCAAGACCAGGCCAAGTTCGAGCAGCTGTTCAAGTCGGCTGTTGGGGATGCCCAGGCTTTGTCCGGAGACCAGGCGCGGGACCTCTTGATGCGCTCCAAGCTATCTGGCGATGCGCTTTCCCACATCTGGTACGTTCAGCAACTTGCACGCATAATCCAGTGCTAACAAACATAGGACCTTGTCGGATACGACCAAGTCCGGCCAGCTCCTGTTCCCCGAATTTGCGCTCGCCATGTACCTTTGCAATCTCAAGTTGACCGGCAAGGACCTGCCCAACTCCCTCCCCGAGCGAGTCAAGAACGAGGTCTCTAGCATGGTGGATATCATATCGTTCGGAGTCGGCGACGATTCGTCAAGCCGCCCAACACCGGCGAGCAATGCCCCGAAGTTCAACGAGCCTCCTACAATCCAGCAGCCCCAGCCCCAGCCATCGAACAGCCAATTGTTGAATACGTTGGTCACGCAGCCGACTGGATATGGACAGCAGTCAATGGGCATGCAGCCACAACCTACAGGTTTCGGACAGCAACCGACTGGTATGCAGCCGCAGCCCACTGGCTTTGGACAGGCTCCTGGTGGCTATAATGGACCACGTCCACCGATGCCTCCGATGCCTACCGGCTTTGGCTCAAACCTCGCGCCTAATCAGACCGGCATGGCACCTCTCAATGCGCAGCCAACCGGGATGCCAGGTCAGTGGGGTCTAGCCAATACCCCAGCCACTGGATTGCCAAACATTGAAGCTTTGGCGCAACGAATGATGCCTCAGACTGGCCGGGAGGGTGGTAACCATACGACTGCCGGTTTGACTGGTAACGCCACGATTCCCTGGGCCATTACGAAAGGAGAGAAGAAGCTGTATGATGATACTTTCCGAGCCTGGGATGGCATGACCAAGGGCTACATCAGTGGAGCGCAAGCCCTCGAAATTTTTGGACAGAGTGGACTGCCCAAGCCAGATTTGGAGCGCATTTGGACCCTCGCCGACTCTGCTGACAGAGGTCGTCTTGACCTAGATCAATTCGCGGTTGCCATGCATCTGATCTACCGTAAGCTCAACGGCTACCCCATCCCCGCTCGTCTCCCTCCTGAGCTGGTGCCACCATCTACGCGCAACATCAATGACTCTATTGGTGCGATGAAGAACTTGCTACGTGGAGATGCCGAGGACAGGAAGAACTCTGGTGCTTTCCTTCAGCCTCAGCGCACTGGTGTTAGCTACCTAAAGTCTCACTCGTTCCGCGCTGGTAGTCCGCAAGCCGGTGGCCGAAAGGATGCTACAGTTTTTCGTAACAACGACGATAATGTAGGATACAAGTCGAGCGCTAGACATCGTCTTGGTGGTGGCGGTCGCTCGCCTTCACCAGCGCAGCCGGCTTCTCCTTCTTCAGAGCGATCTGACGAGATGTCACTTGACCAGCTGAGAAAGTCTGTCAAAGAGAAGCAAATCTTGTTGGATGCCATGGATACACAAGACGAGAACGCAGCCGATGAAGACGATGCGCTGGATCGCCGAGACCGCCGAGAAGCTGAGGATCTCTACCGCCGCATCCGCAGGGTACAAGAAGACATCGATGCCCATCCCAAGGCTTCACTTAGATCGTCTGACTCGGATGCTGAACGTCGTGCCCTGAAGCGCCAACTACAGACCTTGACTGATCGCTTGCCTGAACTTGCGTCCAATGTTCGCAGAACAGAGCGTGAGATAGCAGACGCTCAACTTGAGCTGTTCAGACTCAAAGATGCCAAGGCACACCCTGGATCCGCATCTACCATCGTGGGTACTGGACCTGGTGGTGCGGTGACTGAATCCGACCGTCTGAAAGCTCGCGCTAAGGCTATGATGCAAGCACGCTCTGCTGCGTTGACCGGAAAGCCTGCTCCTGCTAGCGATGACACTGGCGCTGCAACTGAGCGCTTGGAGAAGGAAAACTCGCGCATCAGAGCAGAGAGGGAGAACAATGAGCGCATGATCCGTGATGTTGAAGACAGTGTGAACGAATATACTAGGGGCCTAGAGTCGAGCTTGAAAGAAGGAGGGCATGACAATACAAGCGAGCATGAACGACGCAGGTGGGAGGAGGCTCTAGGTGTGGAAGATGACGTTAAGGACTTCATCTTTGATCTGCAGCGCAGCAGCCGGGCTTCGCGCATCCGCAAGGACGAGTAAGTATTATCCGATAACTTTGGCAACCATCTTGCTAAGCTCGCACAGTAAATCTCGCGATAACTACAGGGCCCGTTCAGAGGAGAGACGGCCAGCAACATCTCGCTATGAGAGCCCTGCTGCTCGTGTCGACCCTCCTCCTCGTGCATCAACAACTACACCCGGCGGTGGGTCATACTCGGCATACAAGACTCCAGAAGAACGTGCGGCATTCATCAAGCAACAAGCTGAGCAACGCATGGCCGAGCGCCTAGCTGCCTTGGGTATCAAAGCTCCTGTCAAAGCTGGCGAGACACCTCAACAGCGTGCCGATCGTGAGAAGAAAGAACGTGAAGAGAAGCTGCGTCAGGCTGAAGAGGAAGATGCGCGCCGCGAAGAAGAGCGTCAAAGACGTCTCAATGACGAGTCCGCAGCACCACCTGCTCCGACTAAGAGCAGCGGCAAGAAGCCCGCACCGCCACCCCCAGCTTCGCGTAAGAACAAGACAGATGTTGCGCAGCATGATGTGCAACAAGCGGAAGCAGAGTCGAAGAGAGCAGAGAATGACATGGCTGAGAAGGCTCTTCGCGAGCAGCAGGAAGCACAAGAAGCTGAGACAAGGCGCATGGAGTATGTATACATCGATCTATCCTCTACGTCTATACTAATAAACACTAGGGACGAGGAGCGTAGACAAGAGGATGAACTTGCCAAGGAGCGCGAATCCGCTCAGGCTAGGCTTCGTGCCCTGGAAGAGCAAGTTCAACAAGGCAAGCTCAAGAAGGCCGAAGAGAAGAAGCGCAGAGAAGCTGCTTCCAAAGATGCCAAGGAGAAGGAAACTCGACTGGCCGCCCAGCGCGCTGAGATCGAAGCTGCTCGTGAGCGCGAACGTCAGCTGCAGATGCAGCTTGAGGCACTCGACGACGACGAGTCCTCGGATGACGATGGCCCGCAGAACATCACGCCTCAGGACACTACACCCACCGCCAGTCAAGAGTTGCCGCGTGATACTGCACCTCCACAAGCACCACCAATCCCCCAAATTTCGCACAACACACCACCATCGTCCATCGCCAGCCCGCCTGCGTCTTCGGTGACTAGTCCTCACCCTGGCTTAGGCGACACTGAGACCAAGAACCCATTCTTGAAGAAGATGGCAATGTCGAACCAGGAGAACAGCACTGTCTCGACACCTCCGCCCCCACCGAGCAACACAAGCGAGGTGTCCACGAACCCTTTCCACCGTCTCACTCAAGAGCAAGCCAACAAGGCTGCTGCGCCTACGTTCAATGAGCCTGCTCAACCTTCAGCGCGCAGACTAAGACAAGACGATGATGACTGGTCTGTCGTCGACTCAGACGACGACGACTCATCCGACGATGATGAGGCACCCCAAGGTGGCGCCAAGCAGTTGGCTTCCATGTTGTTCGGTACCATGGCACCACCACGTCCACTTTCCTCCATGGACAACAAGAGCCCGCGTGCTGAGAGTCCAGCTGTGACATCACCGCCCGTTGGTATCCCACCACCTCCTCCCATGCCTACGAGCGGTGCGCCTCCGCCGCCGCCGGGCCCACCACCGCCACCAGGTGGTTCTGCACCTCCGCCACCCCCAATGCCTAGCATGAAGGCTCCAGGTGGAATGCCGAACCGTGGAGCGTTGCTTGGCGAGATTGCTGCTGGCAAGGGGTTGAGGAAGGTAGAGACTAAGGACAGGAGCACAGCTTCCACTGCTGGACGAGTTTTGGGTTAGTGTGTAGGTTTATAGAATTGTAGTATAATCGCGTCTGTTTAATCTGAACTCAAATTTGATCTTACGATGCTAGCACACTGCATGGCCATTTAACGTATGTTTTCTAGACCGGCTGTTGTAGTATTGCTACGTCCCCAGCACAAAGGATGATACACACCGGAATTCTTCAAAGCGGTACCTAACAGGACCATACCCTAAGATACTTGCATGATGTTACTTTACTGTGTTACTAAAACAAACAACGATGTAGGTTTCGGTCCATGGTGTTCAATGAGACTTGCTTGGAATCAGTACTTCTGCATGCACCAGATATATCTTGCTAGTTCTACTGCCGGCGTATTGTAGTCATGTATCATCTATTCTGCTCCAACCTATACCTGCTTCTGGTCCATGATAATAACACCCTTTCCCTTCATTTTGCCTCCATGCGCTAACTCAACCAACTTCTCAATCTCACTTAACCCCTGAAACGGATTCGTCTGCACTGTAATACCATGCTCTGCAACCAGTTTCAACATATCGCGCGCCTCACCTACAGTAGAGATGACCGACCCTCTGACCCTGATATCGCGAAAGATGAGCTCATGATACGGGATTACCACGTCATCCGGTTGCGCAATCTGAATCATAGTGCCATGCATTTTGGTGATAGCACATGCCGTGGCCGCCGCCGAGGAAGCATCGCTTACGTTCAAAGTAGCCGTCGCACCTTCATTGTTCGTACAAGCATGTACAGCTTTGATGATATCCTCTCTGCTTGTTCTAGCATCAATGATAACATCTGCACCACAATGCCGCGTGAGTTCCAAACCTTCATCTCGCGCATCGATACCAATAACGTTCAACCCCATTGCCCTTGCAAACTGCACGCCGAGATGACCTAGGCCACCTCCACTACCTACAATGGCTATCCATTCTCCTTTTTTCACGGCAGACAAGACAATGCCACGGTAGATAGTGATACCCGCACAAGCCAGCGGAGCAGCAGTCTCGAAAGACACCTTGTCAGGTAACTTTGCAGTTTGCTCCGCATCAATTTTCGCGTATTGAGCGAAAAAGCCGTGGTTTGTCACACCCAGGAAACCACCAGTCTTCTGGCAGTATTGCGGACAAGCCGAGGGGCCTTGACATTCAGCGCAGGTCCCACATGCATGGTATAACAGTCCTGCCATGACCCTGTCGCCTACCGCGAAGTCCTTTACGGAAGAACCCATGGCTACGATGGTACCGGCGCCTTCATGAGAAGCTGTGCAGGGAAGGGGTGTGCCCATGTTGCCAGCAGAGACCATGGAGTCTGTGTGGCAAAGTGATGCGACGGCGACTTTAATTAGGAGGTCTTTCGGTGCAAGGTCTGACGGAAGGGGGATTTGGTGAACTTTGTACGGTGAGTTGAACTCGACAACTTGCGCTGCCCACATCTTGGTTGGTAGGTCGGGAGTGGACATGGTGAATGGTTCTTGTCTCGACAGGGAAACGACTACCTGCTTGCCGAATTCGAGGGCTCTAAGGTCTACGGCTGTATCTACCTTGAGATCGGCTGTGATCGTAGTATTCGAGATATGCGATGATAAGTTCGCCGTACAAAAGAGCATGCGATGTACACTCGAAAGGTCGAGATATGACGTTGCTGAGGGGTAAGTGATGATAGTGCACACTGCTAAATCCGGCATAATTCCATCTGGCAAGCGCCATGTACTATTCAGGCAATGGCAGTACTAGGAAATGGCAGCAATCCGCCGCCTCTCATTTGACATTGTCGTAGCCAACGTCGTGATCGAGCAAGGGTAACTTCAACCAGTCTCGCATGCATGTGCTCTATCTCGAGTAAACTCACCGCGAAACACTGTCCCTGTTCCAATTTTACTTATGAACATAGAGGCTTCATGAGACTATATTGGAAAGATGCTAGACGCGACGACGCAAGCTACCGGGAGCGCGACTAAGACACGACGGCACGTGATAGTGGACATCCAGCTCTATACAGGGGCCCGTCAACGGCCTTGCAAGAGTCTCGACCATCACCTAGTTGATCAGGTACCAAGCCTACAGGTCTTCATAATAGTCTAAACGTAATACAAGCCTAAACGTAAAGCAAGGACAAAACATAAGAGAAGCGATCTCGGAGCTGGACTCATCGGTCAAGAACCGGACAAATGACATAGAGGAAAGTCTGAGTGGAGCGTACCACTATTGACCAGAGCATCGAGCCCACAAAGTGACCTTGGCTGTGAGCTTGACGGAAGCTTATGTGGTAATGATCGCGTTCTGGACATGCCTCTGCAGAAATGCTCTGATCTCGAATAGGACAAAAGGAACCCATAGTCTAAGAGTGTCCGAGCAATAGTCATAACCAGTCTTGCGATTGCGATTGAATCTCGGGAGCGAACCTTCCTATCCAAGCCACCTCAAGATGGGAAAAATAAGCTGGCAGGAAAGCTGCATGTATAGCGGAAACTGCCGTGGGCGAGTCGCGTTTCTGTGCATGGCCGGGTACAGCAACCGCACTAAATAAGTGATTGGAAGTTCCAAGATTCACTGGAAACCGGTGCTGAGGATCGGCAAAGTTGATTAGTAGGACGAGGTGGCTTCAAGGTTCGATGAGCGACATGATAGAACTGTACATGTCGATTCCAAGGTTGTGTTAGGCAGCCTCGGTAAAAGCAAACCGGGCAACACTCGTGGTAACGACAACAAATACAACGCCATGAACCCCTGTTCCCCCCTATTACACGACTATCTGCAACGCTTTTTCGGCTTTAACCTCCTAATTGGGAGCAGGAAGCTGTCCATGGATCGTACACACCGCTTAACGCCAAAAGGAAAATTTAGACACCGGCACTTGCATGTGGTCATCTCACCATCGCGTTTAGTATGACACCATTACTCGTTGCAAACACGGGTGTTAGCGCGCAGCCCGCTCCCTTCCGCGGACCCCTGCCATCCCCACTTAAAAAACATGCTGAATGCAGCGAGAACCGCCACCGCGGCATTTTTGCAGCGAGGACAGAGTGGGAAACGCACAGTCCATCATGGGCAAAAGTGAGAAAGGCATGCGAGCGGATGACGCGGATGATTGTCGCCGTCATGTACAGTACGGTATGGGAGATCTAGATTGCGATGTCCCTGTACTGCAGGTGGTCTGCTGTGTGACTTGAGGTTGCGCGGACTAGGGGTCTGATTGACAGGGGAAAACAGTCGCAGTGGGTATATTCACAAAGTGACTTGTGTGTGCCGGAACTGGATCTTGTTCTCTTCTTGTGCTCCATTCCTTCTACTGTCTGACGGGTATAACGGCGTGCCAGCCTTGTTCTACATGTACCTAGCATGTGGGTGGGGGAATTGTTGGGCTACTACTGTACTATGGCGTTATCTAAGGCGTTGGGTTGCAAAGTGAGGCTTCTCAGAGCTTGGGCGGAGATGCACAATATTTGTGGCTTTTACTCTAGGGACAGCATTCCTTGCCGGATGTATGCTTCCCGCGTGCACGCAGCATCCGAGCACGAAGCCTGGGGGCGAAAACGGTTGTTTTGCTGGGGATTCGAGTGTGTGCAAGGACACGTGGAGGTGAGTAAAGTTTACGTTCCCTCATGACGATTCTGTGGGCGATGTTACGGCAGAGACACCTAGCGTCGGTGGTTTGATCGGACCTTCCAACCTTGCTGTCTCGTCATTTCGACCGCCTGGCGTAGGCCATGCCAGTAACGCTTTCATGGCCATGGCCAAGGCGTTCTATTGTTTAATGGCCACAGTGGGCTGACAATGATGCCTTCCCACGCTGCCACTGCCTCGGGATCTGCTGAGAGTGCGTCATTGGTCGCGGCCTATGAATCCGCAAGATGGCCGGTACTCCTACCTATGGAGACTAGACGCATGTGAGGGCTAGAACGCGAGCGAGTTCGTTAATATCTGTGCAGCCCAACCAGCGCAGAAAGGGCCGATGGGCAAAACAGTGAGGATTCCCCGTGAAGAAGATACCGAAAAAAGTAAAAGACCATATGAGCAAGGGTGCGGTTATGAGTACAACAGGTTTACGCGCACAAAGTAGGGGCGAAGTCTAGGACGGGCAATGCAAGACAATATGTTACATTAAAACGAAAGTGAAAAGGATACAGAAACAGAAACTCCAATGATACTACAGTGATGACGAGAGCAATATAGGAAGGAAAGGATACTCAACTATCCAAACCAATCCAAGTACTGGCTTCGTATCCTTCGTGTTTCCTGATCTCATCTTGCTTATTAAATCATCATCTCATCGTCAAAATTCCTTCCTTCTTTGATAACAACGACAAAAGCGAATGCATCGAAAGGAGATTGGTGCATCCCCCACTGCCCGGCAGCGGAGAGCCCCAAATAAAGCTCGTTCCAGTTAAAAGAAAAGACGCATCATATTTACCTAGGCAACTCTCAATTTGTGAAATGCCAAGTGCGACGATAGCCATGACTTTAAGGTTGATGCATTAGGTGCTATGCAACAAGTCCAACTCAAGTAAAAAGCACGTACCTAGAATGTTCGCATCTGAGGCATCATGCCGGTGGCTACACCAGGCGGCATTACCGGTGCACCCGTAGCGGAAGGGCCCAAGCGATGGAACATCTGGACCAGGCGCTCTCCGACACTGGGTTCAAGCTCCGTGCCATCCCTCGCAATCTTGACTTCGCGATTGGCATTCCACGGGTTGCGGAGGCCCCGGGTACGGTAGAATGGTAGGCGGTTTGTAGAGACCCACTCAATCTTGAAGGGCTTGCCCCAGCTCTGTGGCACGGCTGAAGTATCGCCTTCGGCTGGTTGGGGCGCCTCGTTTCTGTCAGTCTTGTCGCCTTTGTCCTCACCCTCCTCTTCAGCGTCGGTGTCGGGGAGCTCTGCTTCCCAGAAAATCGTGCCGCGCGCAGAGTCGTCAATGATTCTTCCACGAGGTGCCCATTCTGTTGCTGGGGTCGCGATCGACTTTGGCACGTCTGTCGTATCTGCGATCGTCTCTGGTTTGGGTGCCGAGCCTGTGATAGGAGCGCCATCCTCGAGGATCGGTGACGCCATACGGGCGTAACCAAAGTACTCGCCCGACTTGTTCGCGGAGAAGATGAGGTAGACATTCTCAGCAGACTGGGTTCTGTCAGCCAGCTCTCACAGGCATGGAGTTTGTTATGCACTTACCTGGAATGCTTTGTTCAGTACATCTTCATTGTGAGACTGTGTAGCCCAGATACCGTTCCGAACACTGAGCTCCAGGTCTTGCAGCGTAAGGCTTTTCACAATGAAGTATTTCGTGGCAGTATCGGCAGATGATCTGTGATCTTCAATACTCTTGTGCGATGGTGAGCCGGCCGCGTCTTCTGTAAGATTATCAGTGACACTGTCCTGCATCGGTGTCGCTGGCCGAGAAGCGTTCTTTTGCTGGCCTATCATAGCCGAGGGTGCTGTAGGGACGCCTGATGCCGGAGCAGAGCTGCGTCGAAGTCGACAGACTAGGCGCACACCGTTGAAGCGTGAGTCGTGGAATCTGTGCATTGCAGCCGTGCACGATGCTTCCGTGCGATAGTTGACAAACGCACAGTTGCTCTTGGATATCAAAAACAGACTTTCGATATCCTTGGTAGCGTCGCGAGAGAAGTGGTCCTTCAAGGCGACTATCGTGGTTCCAGGTGGGAGATTGCCAACCCAAAGTGCGTGTCCAGACTGTTTTGGTTTGCGAGGCGGCCCGCGAGGTATGGAACTCATTGGCCCAGAGCGAGGTATGGCTATGGTCACATCAGCAACTGCACATACGATACTCCAATGGTATTATGTGTAAGGACAAGCTTCTGTATACTTACCAGGAGATTGCGCAAATGGTGCACCGTATGGAGACATCGAGTCCCCTAGAAAATTTCCAGTGGCCATGCGAACACCCGAGAAGCCGCCATCGACATGCGAATAATCGGCAACGTGGCCTTGCATACCCGTGTTCGTCAAACTGGCCTTCCTTTCGTACATCAATTGATTCTGAGTACCGAACCCGGGGTTGAATTGCCCTTGTGGTCCGTATGGCGCCGGATAGTACATGTACTGTGACGCCTGCTGATAGCTCTGGTATGGGGATGGCATCGGTGCCACCCCAGCTAGACGAGGCTGGTTTGTCGCGAAGGAAGGATAGGCGCTGTATTGTGAGCCCTGTTGAGGCATGAAGGGTTGTTGGGGAAGCCCAGTAGCAAATCCAGGTCCGTATGAAGCATGAGTGGACATGTTGCTAGAAGTCATCTGTAGGTTCTGTCCGAGCTGGTATGCCACAGCTGACGTGGATGCGCCAGACAACGAGCGGGGTACCGTTTGCGGATTCGTTGAAGCATTGTCGTTGGTGCCATAGTTGGGTAGTGCGCCTGTCATGGCGCCCATGTTCAGTGGTGATGTACCGTGTTCCTGGGGCTGGTGAGATCCGTTCGCATGGGTCGATGATCGAAAGTCGGGTCGTAGTTGGCCATGAGGTAGGCCACTGAGCTGAGAATAGAACGGATCGCTACTGTCTGGAGATTTGAGGGATGTTGGAAATGAACCGGAAGTATTTCCGTCACGCGCAAGACCAGTTGTCGCGTTGTCCATGGCATGAGGCCGTGGACCAGGTGGTAGGTCGCCCATGTGTTGTTGTTGTTCGTAAACGACAGGAAGTGGTACCCACTGTTGGACCCAAACGAAAGCCATGTTAGTCCATATTACAACTCATACAACGAGGTCTAGAAAAACGAAAGTATAAAGGCCCGATTCGAACCAAACTTCCGAACATAGGAGAATGCAACATACCTAATTCTATATCAACGTATCCTTGAAGAGGTGTGGCAACCCGGAAGTGACGAGTACCGAAAGTAAGTCGCTTCCTAGGAGAGATGACGAACAAAGTTTGCCAATGGATAAGGGAGGCTGTGAGGTGATCGCATGTAAAAAAAGAAGCCGGCAGGAGGAGAGACCGTTTGAGGGAAGATGAACGACTTCGGTTGATGTACTACCTTGGAGAAGGAGCTCGCTTAGGGCGGAACGAAGATGATGGTCAGAATTACACAACCACTAAGACGGCAGAAGCGATCTCTCAAAGCCCTTATGAGGTTGGAGACGGCGCAACGGCAGGGACCGCAATGGGCAAGCGTACGTGCGGCAGATATTAGGAGCTAGGGTCCCGAGGATGAGCTCATTGATTGGCCTGGTAGGAACGGGAAGGCCACAAGAGGGATCTCGCGAGTTTTCTGCCTCAATCGCCGCTGGCCGCAGTAACTGACCGTAGCTTGATTGGTTGTCGGAAGGCTGGCCGTGGCTGACAGGATTGACGTAGAATGACAGGGTCTAAACCGATGCTCTGGAGGCGAAACGATCACCAAAAGCCCAGCGAGGAGAAGATAATTGGGTGCCTGAGTCAAGGAGTAGTAGAAAACAAGTGTTACGGACGTGGTATATCATCGGACGTGGCGAGTGATACCGTTTCTAGAATGCCATGGGCCGACAGCGCTGATCATAGACTATCTTACGAAAGCTTAGCGGGCCCTTCCTAGCAATCTCCGGCAGGCGGAAATTTAGGGTTTGTTCTGTATACCGAAAAGCAGTTGGCGCGGAAGTGCTCGCGTCAATCTCTCGAATCGAAACTTGCCGAGAAAGTAGAAGAAAGCATTATATTACAAAAGCGCTCCAAGACCATAATACCAGGGTGTCCGCTAGCACCGGCTTGCACTGTAACAATTCTGCCTAGATCAAGATGATGAAGTAATTTGACGCCGTCCATGAGAACGGGCCCGACATGCATGCAAGGCAGGCTGACCAATTGAGGGAGCTACAACGACGGTGGACCAGACGCGACATGCACGAACTGAGCCGCCCAGAAGACTCCGGCCGTTTAGGAAACAGGGAGGAGCCATGGACGCCGCGTGGACAGCATTAGGGCGTCACGATAATGACAAGGCATGGAGCCAGCGTAAGGAGCTGACAAGGGACCCGGTAAAAGCATCTTGGGGCGCTGTTGAGTGGCTTCGTAGTAGGCTGTCTGGGCGGTGGTACTCCCCTGGTGACCCTGCGGCGGGAGTGCGTCGAAACGAGGGTGGAAGAAAGATGGAGCGGGCAGGTATGGCTCTGGGACCTATACAGGTTTAGCGCCATAGCGCGACGGCGAGACGGTGGGCCGCCAGATGTCAGCACTCGCTTCCATGAATGCGAACACACCAGTGCAAACCAACGCTTGACGAGTTTGCAGTGGGCTCGGCACGCTCTCGGCAGACGGCTGGACAGAATGGTCCGAAACCGTTTGCTCAAACATGGGAACTGGTTCTGGGCTGCCAGTGCAGAGGGCTTTTCGCCACACCCTCGGCGAGACCGCACCATGACAGTGATCTGCGCGCCACAGCACAGCCACCACACTTGATCCCGCGCGGTCATGATCGACACCCGGGCGAGCAATGAACGAAACGTCTGTCCCGTCTGCCAGGGTGCGAGAATGACGATAGTGTTACAAGAATAGATCTGCAGATCATGAGCTTGTCCAAGTCGACTCGATCAACGTCGAACGATTTGAGGCTCCACACTGTCGCACCGCTGGGCAGCAACAAGAGTGCTGCCAAAACACCCGTCTTCGGCCTAATAAGAGATTGCGATGCCAACATGTCCATGTGCCGTGAATCCCACTTACGCATTCCCGGTCATTAGTGATATGGGAAACGTCAAGCTTTGACATCGCGCGCCCACATTACCGCAGTGGCGGTGCTAGCATCCGTTTACAGGGTCCAGCACAGATTCTTCATCGAATCAGCGTCCGGTCGCGAACGCGAGCGTTGGCACTACTGTAGAGCCTCTTCGTATCCAGAGGCCCAGCTGGAACCCTGCGGGGGTGCTCCAAATGCGCGGTGCATAGTAACTGTGTCGCGAATTCAAACTCCGGTATAGCCGGTTCGTCCGAATAGCTTTCCCCGACTGTCCTTACACGTTTGCGTGTCGTACGATGCAGATGCAGATGCAGTAGTGAAGCGACTGAGGCTGTGAAGGATGATCTTTCGATAAAATGCTCCCGTCTTGAGAAATCTTGCATCGATAAGCCGGCTGAGACATGTACCTCGCCCCTGGCGATCCGCCGTCACCCCACATCTCAGGTTTTGCACGTGTTCGGTAAACGTGGACCCTTGCGAAGCAAAATCTAAACACTCCGTCATGTTTAATGGTTCTCTTGCAAGAATAGCTAACAGGGGCTGCAAATACAAATCACGGCTAGTCTACGGAGAAGCACTCATTACTGGTCGCTCATGCATTCGATCGCGATCTGTATATTCGCGAGTGCTGCACAACGTGACCCGGTTGCATACTATGTGGTGCCATTTTGCCACCAAAAGTACATTTTCGTTACCGGTGTTGGCGCGTCGGTCCACGACGCCGCATAAAAGTTCAGCCCAGGGAATATGTGCATGTCCGTTTCAGAATGCTGGGGACTTCAAAGTACATATCGGCTGCTCCGGAACGCTCACAGCGTATACATACGCTGCCCGCGCAGTAGACACAAACCTTATGGACCCCATACGTGACTTGCGACGTCGGCCTAGTAGTGTATAGACCTCGGAACGGGTCGGAAATCCTGCCAATAGAAAAGAACCAGTGACATATCATACGCTCGCTCCAGCTGTTTCCGGTCCTGCGGCTTCCTTTGTGGTTCGCACTACACGAGTGAAGCAGTAGTGCAGGACTGGCTCAGCATATTTGTCAACTGCCGTCAATAACTATTTCTTGTTCAGAACTGGCTTCAGCGAGCTACGAATTCAGTCAGGAACTCTTCAATGTATTGAAAATAGCGTGGTTCTGCGACGGTGTCGTTGTGGCTTCCATTCGGTAGTTCCTTCCAAACTTTTGGTGCTTTGCAGACTTGGAACAATTTAGTCATGTGAGAAGGTCTGTAAAGCAGTCAGCAAACTGAAAGCCTAACGGCAAACGGTCCATGTCTAGGGTATGCGCTTACGGAATGATTTCGTCCTTGAGACCACTGAGGAATAGAATAGGTATCTTGGTAATCTTAGGGAGTGTCTCTTCAGTAGGCCAGATCTGGTGGCAGAGAGGAGTCAAGAAGCGAGCAGGAGGGAAAGCACTACTCCAGGTTAGTGATGACCTCCAAATCTAACGAAGTTACTCACGTCGGTATGAGTTTTTTGATCGAGGTAAAGGTATTCTCCAAGATGATGCCTGAGATGTCGCCCTCTCTAAGGTTACGAGCAGCCAGTCCAATGGCAACTGCACCACCGATACTCTGACCGTATATCACAACCTTGGTGTCTCGAAGTTCGTGCCTTTGGCGGATATAGTCCAATCCGGTCTGCGCATCAATCATGAGCCCCTTTTCATTAGGATTGCCAGAAGACAAGCCATAGCCTCGGTACTGCAACATCAACACATTGCACCGCAACTCATTTTCGAGGATCTTTGCGATGGGAAGCCTGTAGCCGATGTTGCCAGCGTTGCCATGGAACATGAGAACTGTTACATTGCGCGCATGTTGCTTGTTGGCTCGAATGAAGAATGCGCTTAGGGATTCGCCGTCCGGGGTAGGGATAAACAGTTCCTCATAGTCGGTAATGGCGAATTGCGAGGGCCTGGGTACGTTCGTTCGAGCGTCTGGAGGGAAAGCCCGGGGGTATATGATTTCACTATCACCATTAGCCAGATTCCAACAAGGGAACAGAAGATGGTGTACTTTTGCTTGAAGTATAGGAGACCGCTGAGCAGGGCGGCGACACCAGAGGATGCTAGGATGGGTACGCGCAGGTAGGACATGAACGTGTCCAATGCCGAAGCCATGCTCCCTGGTCGGACTTGGGGGTCTGTGGGGCGTAGGATGGATCGGGGCTCAGGTGCCGAGCGACTTCGCGAGAATAGCAGCCTAGGTGAGGGAGATGGAGAAGGAATGGAAGACTCGACCATTCGGAGAGCCAGACAGGAAAATGTAGTATGGGGTTACAGTGCGCAACCGCATGTGAGTGAGGCCTAGAGGGTGTCGCATGTTACAGCTAGCGGTTGAGACCAATAGCGAAACGCCAAGGAAAACCAGCCGCGTACCGTCGAGCTGCCTACACCACCACCTGTAGCAGCTACTCACTCACCCCACAGCTTCTCTTGCCTCCACCACACGCTTCTCGGACATTCGGACTTGTCGAACCACCCCTCTCTATAGTAGACCAGCTCATACTGCAACAATGATGTCCACAGGCATGTTGGGAGAAGGTACAGTTGCCGCTACAAACAAGTGAACTGCGGGAACTCACACTGCGTAGATGGCATCCATGTCGACATGAACCACCTCAAGAAGGGCGAGGTCAAGTGAGTTGTTCGTGGGCCAAGAGCGCTGCCAGAGTGCTAACAAGCAACCTAGCCTTGGAACATCCATCATGGCCATCAACTTCAAAGACGGCGTCATATTAGCTGCCGACAGTAGGACGACGACCGGAGCATACATCGCAAATCGTGTCACCGACAAGCTCACACAAGTGCACGACACCATCTGGTGTTGCAGATCGGGATCAGCTGCAGATACACAGGCTGTCGCGGATATCGTGCAATATCACCTGGGCATGTACGGTACCACCAACGACGAGCCACCGACCACACAGACTGCAGCAGCCATCTTCCAAGAGCTCTGCTACTCCAACAAGGACCAACTCTCGTGAGTAAGGCACGGCCGTGCGACTACCCGTCACTGACGTAACTGCAGAGCTGGACTCATTATTGCCGGATGGGACCACCGCCACGGCGGACAGGTATACTCGATTCCCCTCGGAGGCTCCCTGCACAAGCAGTCATACGCAATTGGCGGCTCAGGCTCAACGTACATCTATGGATACTGCGACGCAAACTGGAGGGAGAACATGAGCGAGGAGGAAGGCATCAAGTTTGTCAAGGGCGCGCTCTCAGAAGCCATCAAGTGGGACGGCAGCTCGGGCGGTGTGATTCGCATGGTGGTGCTCACAGGCAAGGGCGCGCAGAGGCATCTATACCTGCCAGACCAGAACTACGATGGGCCAGGCAAGCAGTAGAAGTGGTCGTCATGACGGTGGTGGGTACATAGGCACACCATGTATGATATAGCACGACATGATGATGATACCTGAATGAGCGAAATGAGACAAAAGGAATCCATGGTTACCATGATGCACCGGAACTCGGGCAGTAGGCGTGGGATGGAGGCGCAACCACTGGCCAATCAACAGGCAGCATCAGGGCATTCGTCGCCGGTGTTTTTTTTGGCGCGGCCCTGTTCCATCCATTCTCTCACGTGGCGGGACGGTCCGAATTGCAGAGGACCGTCTCGAGTGTTTTGCAAATTGTGGCGGTATGCGTGCAGTGCCGAAACGAGAGAGAGTAGATGCACAGTGTCGTCACATGCGTTTTGGATGGTGCAGGTGAATTGCGGCCAGGGTCTCTTGGGACCTCGCCAGTCGTTGGTCTGTGACGTTCGGGTTCCCCACGCCTTTGTCGAACAACACCTCATCACTCTTCACGCTGGAAGCCCATCCTGCGCGCATCCTCACCTTTACCTTGACTCGACGCGTGCCGTCCAATTTACTTTGGTTACGGCAGAGAGCAGCAGGCTTGCACGCGATACCTGCGCCCCTTTAAGCTGCGTCCAACTTCGGGCTCTTTCCGATAAGGCTCAACAACACGACCGACATCTCTCACCGATCCACTCTGCCTCGCAAGCACACTCCCTGGTGCACCGCAAGCATTCGCTGTGCCGCGCCTTCCCCCACGTCAAGACCCGCTGCACTCGACGTCCCTGCGCAGCCTGGTTTCGCGGAATGACTTCGCTTTTGGTGAGCGACTTCGGTGGGAACCACTTTCACACCAACATGTTTGGCGGCGGCAGCACGCATCAGTCACAAGAGTCTCCTGCCGGGCGTCACACTCCCGTACGGCCATCGCCGTCTTCGAGCACCAATGCGCCGCGTGTGGTAGCTCCGTCTGCTGATGTTCCCATGGCCGATTCGGCAGCCCCGCAGTCGAGCTCAACACCAGGCCAGCGATCGCAGCAGCAAAACAGCTCCGAGCCCAACACCACCGCACCCGCTGCCGAACAAGCAGCACCGACGCCACCCAGTCCGCACTTTCGTCCCCACTCACAACAGCCGACCCCGTCGGGCGTAGACCCCGCCTTCACAAACACCCGAACCGTTCCCTCGTCAGGTCCAGCACAGTCCTTGCGATCGCCCGAAGCCTCTCCTACCAAGATAAAAGTAAAGAGTCTGTCGCATATCCAGAGCTTCGCCATCGATGAGTCCAGTCCCTTTTCCCAGTCGCGCTCGCTTGCACGGCGGCAGCGACGAGACCCTGCAGACGTCGGGCCTCAATACGAGATCAGCGAGATGCCCGTGTCAGATATAATCGAAATGGTGGCTGGTTTGCTGACCAAGATCACGACTACCAACGATCGGCAGCACGACCATCTGCACCGCCAAATCCCGCCATCAGAGGGCACCTCAGGGTTGAGCCAACAGACAACCAGCGTCTTGGCTTTTCATGGAAAGAACGTCCCCAGCATCTCTATCCTCAGCTATCTGAGTAGAATTCACAAATACTGCCCAACCACCTATGAGGTCTTCCTGAGTTTACTCGTCTACTTCGACAGGATGACAGAGAGGGTAAATGCTGGCCCTATGTCTGGTCTTCGCAAGGCTAATCAACAGTCTGTGGAACAATCAAAGTCTGCAATGTCAGCGGCTTCGACTCCGGCAGATAGCACACGACCTGCATCAGCTTCCGCTCAGGCGGCCACGCCTCCTCCGTCAGGCTCCCTAGGCAAGCCCTCGCAAACACCACGCGAGGGCCCTCAGCCGCCTTCACCGCCTCAGCAAGATCTCGACGTGGACGCACTGAACCTCTCACACTTTTTCGTTGTCGACAGTTTCAACATACATCGTCTCGTCATAGCCGGTGTTACGTGCGCCAGCAAGTTCTTCTCTGACGTCTTTTATACAAACTCGAGATATGCCAAGGTTTGTACTCGCCGACACAAAATATGTAAACGTTTGCTAATAACATCAAGGTCGGCGGTCTACCGTTAGTTGAGTTGAACCACTTAGAGCTGCAATTCCTGTTATTGAACGACTTTCGCCTCGCTGTACCTTTGGAAGAGATGGAGGCGTATGGAACAATGCTGGTCGAGTTCTACGCACGTGAAGTTGCTGAGCAGCACGAACGGGAAAACGGTGTGAAACAGTGATACAGCAATCGACTTGTACAGAGTACTTGCCACGGTTTGCTCCAATCAGATAAGGTGACACAACAGGAGGGGGCAGCGGAAGCATTGCGGGTCCATGCCGAATAAGCAGGGAGACCCTTTGCGTCGAGTTAGAGAGGCCAGAGGATACCACTTTTGCGCGAACCATACCCAGTGTATGGACTATATATGTTACGGCATATTTTGAACAGCCAGAATCTTTGCATTCTGGACTAATTTGAAAGGGAAGACATCATCCCGGAGCCCAGGAGACGACTTTGTTCAGCTTGGGTCAGCATGCGAGCGAGTGTTCTTCCTTAGGTGTGCGTAGATTTGGGATACCAACTGTTTGTCTTTATTTCAAGAGAGATTGATGACATTACGCCAGAGTCTCATTGTTCTGAGCTTCGTTTACCCTGCCTTCTGTATTCTTGTTTTGATACCTTTTCTGAACCATTAGGGTGGCGTTTATAGAGGTGCAATCCCAGAAATTCGCTTTGATGCTACCTGTTGGTAACTCGATAAGCTTGATCGCTGTGTTCTTGCTTCTGACCCAGGAAGTGAAAGTGCAAGGAAGATGATAATCATTAAACAAGCAAGTCTACGAACTGCGGATGAAGTAGCAAAGTACATGTGGAAAGTACAGCGCCCAAAGTCTCGGGAGAAGCATTCAGCCCCTCCATTCTAGATCTCCTAACCCTCACATCCTAGACCAGGATCCAGCATAACACAATCCACGCGCGCAACCCCTGGACGCAGATTACATGCAGAACCGACCGGATCACATGTGGTCATGACACATGGCCCTTGTTCCCTGTCTTTGCATCTAGCGCATCAGCCCGTGTTTATATAAGCCAGGGGTAAAAGTCGGAAAAGGGTGCATCCAGCGCATCCAGCCACAACAGTACTCACCCAAACACTGTCTGGAGGCCAGACACACTCGGGCAAAAATGCACATACCATGGGGCGAACACTCAACCTCGATTTAATCTGACGCACTGAATACAGGTACAACAGCATGACACGTGGGGTGGTGCGGGATGTGGACGAGGACCCTTAATATCGGTGATAACATAGCCACCCGGGTGGGGATCTCTGTTTCCTAGTTTTGTCTAGTTCGGATTTCTTTTGAAGGGGGAGTGTTGGATGTGTATTTTCCACAGCACTCTTTAACGCGCTTTCTCGGTTTCAGTGCTTTTGTCCTCTGCGGTTCGGATCTGCTCGGGTTCGGGTTAGGGTTACTGTCGTTATTGTTCTTGCTTGCTTGCGGCGTGTCATTTGTGCAGTTTTTGCGATGCAGCGTTCCTCCTCCGCATCGTCATCGTCGTCCTCGTCCTCGTATTCGTCCTCACTATCGATAACATCATTCGTTCAATATGCTTTCCTCGCCGCACTAGCATATATACTTGCGGGCGCGCCTTTGTCGACATTGCTTGTCTCACGTACAAATGCCGATTCAGCGTTGTCAGGCAGTAGCCTTGGTGCGAAAAAAGGTGTTGATACAATATCCAAGTTGGAGAATCTGGTTATTCCAGAGAAGAACTTGAGTTGCGCGGCGCATGCATACAAAGGAGTTTATGTCTTGAGCAGGGAGCCATTGGTGGTGTACATTGAGGGGTTCATTGGCGAAGAGGAAGCAAAAGAAGTTGTGGCATTGAGGTACGTAACTTTGGTACCTTGTTCTAGTCTTTGCATATGGACAGAACTATATCGCTCACAGGAATCTTCCTGAGTTCATGGAGTAGCATGTCCTGTCTTGGCCAAGTACAAACAACATAGCGTGTTTCCTCTTGCGTCTTTGTCTTTCCCTGAGACTAACAAAGCCCACTACAGTAACCCGCATTTCACACCCTCAACCGTATGGACCTCCGGCACTGAGTCCCTCAATCCGTCAATCCGCAACTCGGAAAAGGCTCCCCTACCCCGCAGCCAAACAGTGAAGTGTATTGAAGAGCGCGCTCGCGTTTTTCAAGGCTGGCGACCCTACACTTTCATTGAGAAACTATGGAGCCAGAGATATGGCGTTGGAGGCCATTACACATACCACTACGACTGGAGTACCGCGACTAAGAAGAGTGGACGCGTCAGTTCTTTTATGGTGTATTTGGAAGCGAATTGCACGGGTGGTGGAACACACTTCCCGCGTTTAGAGAGGCCTAAAGATGGAAGTTGGTGCCAATTTATTGAGTGTGGTGACGGCGCTTCTTCGACAGATGCAGATCTCTCGGCGAATACTGTGGAGGACGGACGGCCCAAGGAAGACCTAAGCAAGGGGGTCATCTTCAAGCCGATTGCTGGGAATGCGGTGTTCTGGGAGAATATGCGGGGAGATGGGAGTGGGTATGCGGAGAGCTGGCATGCGGGGTTACCCGTTACGAAGGGCGTTAAGATCGGACTCAATATATGGAGTTGGTTAGCTGAGGGGTACGTGCCGGTGGAAGAAGAGTCTTAAGGAGATGGGAAAAGGATGGGGGAATCATAGAAGAAAAAGGCAGAACTAGAGGAAAACCTACGCAGGGATTAAATGTGGCTCCAGAGAAAAGAAGGGGCAAGTAGTATTGGAACATGGCGGAAGAACTACATGAACGTCCATTCGAGTACACAATGACGCCACACATATTTGGCATGTTACGCAGCCAATGCATACGCTTTATAGTACCGTGTCAAGTCCACATACGAGCAGTCTTGAGGACCACAGAACTAGTGAGATAGGGAGAAAGACGGCTCATGTTCAATCTGGAATCATCAATCATTTCGTGTTCTCATCCTAAATACTTCTCCTACAACTTCAGCCCCCTCGATCCCTCCACGTCAACAACGACGACCTGCTCGATATGCCCCGCACTCTGACCAAATGAGAATTCATACTGTCCTTGATCAACAGTCCACTTCCCCTTCGCCTCATCGAAGTAAGCGAAATCCTTGTTCGCACACTCAAGCTGCACAATCGCTTGCGTGCGAGGTTCCAAGTAAACCTTCTTAAAAGCTGCCAATGTTTTGACAGGATGCTCAGCCGATTGATCTTTTCTGCCGACATATACTTGGATAACCGTAGCTCCAGCGACATCCCCTATGTTCGTGACCTCGACGTTAGGCGCAAATTGTTCGGGCGTCGATTGAGGCACACGTGCATCAGTGAGAACAAAGGTCGTGTAAGACAGGCCGAATCCAAAAGGAAAGTGGATTTTGTCTGCGGCGATGCGGTCGTAGTGCCTGTAGCCTACAAAAACACCCTCTTCGTACTTGACAGTGAGCTGTCCCTTGTCGTCCCGAGTGCCAGGGAAGTTGCCGTGTGCCGGCGCGTCTTCAATGCGTTTGGGCCAAGAGATTGGAAGGTGACCAGAGGGATTCACGGTGCCAGAGATGATATCTGCGATGGCATTACCGGCTTCTTGGCCAGGGAACCATGCTTGTATCAAAGCAGAAACCTTGTTTAACCAGGGTAGGGCAACGGCCACACCCGTTGAATTTACGACAATGGTCTTCGAGTTGACTGACGCGACTGTTTCTACGAGCTTGTCTTGTGAGCCTTCGCGTGGTAGGTTGAAGCTAACTTGATCTTGGCCTTCGGTTTCCCATACAGGTGTGTGTCCTGTGAAGACGATGGCGATGTCACATTCTTTTGCGAGGTCCTTCGCTTCTGCGGCCATGTCTAGGTCGTGCTCTTCCTCATACATGAATCCCAGTCTGAAACCTGGAAGACCCGAGAGGATGCCTTCATCTGACTCGCCAGCGGGTGGCTTCGAATGAACCTGGATCTTGTATGACTCGCCCTTGGTGAACGGCACGCGAAACTCTTTCTCAGGGTTTCCGCCGAAGAGGAAGCCCATCGGGTCCGGAGAGTTGTGCTTCTGTTCATATACGACTTTGTCGTTAACGTGTACGACTGTGGGACCGATACCTGAGCAACCCAAATAATGCGAGCCAGACTCACGGGGCGTAAAGGTAGTGGTGAATCTAACCTCGCTGTCTTTGGCGCTTTGCTCGAGCAGAGGTGTAAAAGCAGCTTCCTTATTGCCGTGCTTTGTCTTGATGGGCTTACTGGTGTTGCCCTTGTTGAACAGTTCCATGGTCCAGCCATCTTTCCCCTCGGAGTCTTTGCAGCCCTTCGATAGAGGAGGGATGAGACGATATGTAGCTGCACCTTTTGCGAACTTGAATTCCACATCGTCGCCGTAGGCAGTCTTAAGACCCTCCTCAGGAGTGATGCGATAGTGGGCATTCAAAGAAGCACTTCCACCACCATGGATAAGAGCCTCCTTTGCTAGACCAAACAGACCAATTGTCTTGCCCTTGATCTCTTCTCTCTTGAGTGGCAGGACACCGTCGTTTTTCAAGAGGGTGATGCCCTGTCCTGCCACATCTCGAATAAGTTTACTGTGCTTTGGATCGACAATAGATTGCTCAGGCGGAATTTCCGGGTTCTCGAAACCACCGACTTGTTCGATAAGCCTCAGCACATTCCTCGCTCTTTCAGTGATGATGGCTTCGGTGACCTGTCCCTTCTTCACAGCCTCGAGGACAGTATCAGCACTGCGCCACCTAGTCGGTCCAGGCATTTCTAGATCCAGTCCAGCGTTCAATGAGTCAGCCGTGGAGTTGACACCACCCCAGTCACTCATAACGAGCCCGTCCCAGCCCCATTCGCCGCGCAAGACCTGCTTGAGAAGGAATTCATTCGAATCTGCGTGTGTTCCGTTGACCTTGTTGTACGCTGTCATAACGGCGAGGGGATTGGCCTCCTTGATAGTGATCTCAAAAGGCTTCATATAAATCTCTCTCAGCGCACGCTCAGAGACGATCTCATTGACCTTTAGGCGGTCCGTTTCCTGCTCGTTAGCTGCGAAGTGCTTGATAGTGGCCGCGATGCCTTTCTCTTGCAGCCCGTTTACAACGTTAGCGGCCATCTTGCCAGCAAGATACGGGTCTTCTGAGAAAGATTCAAAGTTACGGCCACCAAGAGGATGTCTATGGTTGCACATAGTAGGTGCAAGACTGGCGCTTTGTCAGCATGCGTCGTGTATGTATTGATATCGGCAGACTTGCAGCACTCGAGCACTCTTGGTCTTGGTCTCCTCTGCCAAAGCATGACCTATGCGCTTTGCGTTTGCAGGATCCCATGTCGCGGCTGAACATACTGCTGCAGGAAAACATGCAGCTCGTGTGCCTCCTGTGAATACTTCACCTCGGGCACCGTTGGGTCCATCAGACGTCTATTTTACTATGTCAGTAGCTGTAAAGTATGGTAGATGGTACGATCGCAGGTCCTACCTTAATGGCGGGGACACCCTTATCCGGTATAGGTACTGTCTCCCAAAAGTCCTTCCCAGCAAGGAGTGATATCTTCTCCTCTAGTGTCAAGGACTGGAGGACAGTTTCAACCTTCGCACTCATGTTTGCGTTAACGCGGGGCAGAAGAATAATCGCTCAAAAATCCAAAGAAGTGGTGAGATGGCTCACACCCTATCGTTTATTCTGCCGTAGTGATAGATGTACTCAACAAAAAGAATAGGTAATCGAAAGGGTATCAGCGCTCTATGCCACACCCGAAGGTGCACAACCCGTTACTATATGTACCCCAAGGTCTTCCGCTCTTCCCCATTCCCATTCGGCAACACTGACCGTGTCTCCGGCAGGCACACCATTGTCGTACCCATCGGTACATCGCAAGACGCTTGTGTGGAGAAGCAGAAGTGCGCATCATTGGCGCAACTCAGGATCTACCGTAGTGGCACTCGTAAGCGTGCCGAGGTTTTGCCATGCGGACTGCCTGATTGAGGTCTGATTCGTAGCCTGCGGTGCGAAGCGGCTCGGAGATTCGCCGAGGTTTAGCCTCTCGGGATGCAAGTCGCTTACCGACTCGAGGTCAGATGATATGGGTACACGCAATACGAACGGGCTGCATGTTGAATTGGGAAAACCACGAGAGACGGAAGTCTGGCAGACAGGTTGCTCATGTTGTTGCTGGTGGATTTAGTCATGTTCGGATGCGGCAACCTTCCGAGGCTCAAACGGCATTCGTAGTGGGACCCACGTGTCTTGGCTGGCAGGCAGGTGAACATTTGAAAAACCATACGTCATGTTGTGTACCCGAAAGAATTGCGATCTCTAAAGCTTCGAATCATCTTTCTTTGGCATCCTTGGATTTCAGCTTTTCCAGGCGTCGTTTCGTTCTTGTACATATTACAATTTCCAGCACACGGCATGGCTGCATCATCGAAAAAGCCCGGAGAAGTCAAACCCACGACGAGCCGGCGGCATCCGCTGCAGCGTTTCGACTCACCATCTAAAGGATTCTCTGGCGCGTTGCACGTAAGTGACGAAGCAATACATGTACGACCAGGAGTAGGCAAGGTCAGATGTTGACATGATTTGCATTGTAGGTCGCTGGTCTGATCAGCTTCTATAGTTCCTTCAAGTTGTATGTGCTGCTTCTATCAATTTCGTATACACTACCAGCTAACATATACGAAGTCTAGTAGATAATCCCAATATCTTCGTATGTACCAAACTGCTACTCGTCCTGAATTGCATTTGAATCGCTACTTTTGCTATTCAATATGTGTTTCACATATGAAACAGCAAACTTCCCAATCCTATGTTCACTCGTACATTGCTTAGCCATGCAGCTCAAACAAACAGTCTAACGAATCCCTAGAACTTGTCTTTCGGCTGGCACCTCCAGTTTCTGACCATAATCGGCCTTTCCCTGTCCACAGTAACATTCATCTTCGGTCTCATCGCAGATCTCACATCGACCGCCCTCTCAAAATCTCCTTCTCTAAATTCAGATCCACCCGCGGTAGCTCTTTCTGAGCACCTCTTCCGGTTCAAGAACTATCTGGCTTTAGTAGCAGCACCGATTGAAGTCACCATCAGCGTACTATACTGGACCTTGAAAGCCATTGACGGGAAACTTCTGGTGCCTCCGGATCTACCACTACCACCAGCTATCTACGACCTAGGCTTCCATCTTGTCCCCGCTGTTGTCCTAACGCTCGATTATGTCCTCCTCTCCCCACCATGGCCCACAACGCCTATGAACGAATCTGCGCCTATGATCACTTTAGCCCTTTCTACTGTTGTCGCTTTCACATATTGGATTTGGATTGTAAGAATTCCGCCTCTCTCCCCCATAGAACACCCAGCTTACCATATCTCCCAACTAGGAAATTTGCTTCTCCCAGAATGGCTTCTACCCCTACCCCATCTTTGCGATACTTACGACAAACCAACGAATCGGGTTGTTTGTTGTAAGCGGGGTGATTATGTGGGTCGTAGGTGGATTGTTGAGAGTGTTGTATGCGAAGATAAATGGGTATGAGAGTGTGGAGCATTTGGAGAAGGTGCGACGGAACAAAGTCATGGGGGGTAGTGGGAAGTGGGAGTAAAAGAGGGGAAAATTTCCAGAATGGCTATGAGAAGGCGAGTAGATGAAACCATTGAGGATGTTGCTACGCCACAGTAACATTGAAGCGGGACGTACATGCGGGCTGGGCAGAAAGCAAAGGACTACGTGCGTATATGAGACCGAGATAGTACAAACGCGGATCGGATGTCTATACTGTGCAGTTCATACGGATGTAGCAGATAGCACGTTTGCTTCTATCACAGCTCCTGTATTAATTATGTAAACGAACAACCAGCGATACTGTACATGACCACCAGCTTCTCACCAGCAAGCCCATGTTTGCTATGAAAGTTTACAGTAGAGTGAGGCATAGAAATGGAAAAGAACATGCCTGAGTATCTGTCCAGCGATCCCGTAGCGTGTCTCTCGAAAGGAAATCATACTACATTATACCGTATGCCGATAGTCATCGCGGTGTAAATTATGTAACGCCATGTATGAATCGAACACCAAAACGTAACGCATAAAGGTAAGTCGCACGCATAAGCCGGTAGATGGAACGAGTGTGAAAAGTGGGTATCCGTTGCGACATGATGACAGCGCGGGGTAAGTGTCGCATTGAGGAGTTCAAGGGTAGCTCTGCATAAGTGATAAGCACTCAGCTCGTAGATGGCGAAGGCGGCGCTGTAATCGTGCGTTGGTCATCATCATCCTGATCATGTTGGTGGTAGGCGCTTGTGGTGTTGTAGAGATGGCTAGTGTACTGGAAGGCCTGCTGATCAGGACCGATGCCATAGGAGTAGGTGGGATACTGATAGCCATTGCTTTGTTGCCCGTCAAAGTTGCTGTAACCTGTCTGATGGAACGGGGGTAGGATGTTCTCCTTGTTCTCGTACTGAAAAGGATCGTTGAAGGGTTTGTAGGAAGTGAACACAGGTGCTGGGGAGGGAGATGCTTGATGTGTGAATCCAGACGTGAGATAATTCATGCTGCTGGGTTGCGAGAACGGAACATCATCATTGTCTTGAAAGACTTCGAATCGCTTCCGCTTTGGAGCATAGTTATTGTGACTGTGGTCATACCCAGACGGACCGCGGTCCTCGTCGTATTGATTGCGATTGAGGAAGGGAAACACAGGTCGCTTGGATTGTCTGGTAGAGCGGCGAGTAGCATTGGCATCAAGATTGGCGAGTGCAGGCCGTCTGCGCACTGGTTGAGGACTCTCAGCTTTTATCTCAGTCTCATCGTCTTCGTCAGACTCAGAGCATGAAATTCTGCGTTGGCGTTTGAAAGTGCCCAATGGGGTGAAGATGAGCTCAGTAGCCTCAACTTCTTGAGAGTTGAGTTCCAGTTGTTCCACGACAGAGCTGTCCTTCTTCTGGTTCCTTTTACGACGCATCTCTGGGGTAGCAGAGTCGAAGATGTCCATCCCAGGCCAGTATACCCCCTTGAGTTTGGTTGACTCACTGACGGCCATTGGGTCCACGACCTCGGCAGGCTCGTCCTCGATAGCATATTTAGCTGCAGCGGTGTACCGGTATGGTCTCCGCCTCTCGCTCGGGTCTGAGTATTCACTAGACGTGTCGTAATCTTGGTTGGTGTAGCTACGGGAGCTGGCGCGTGACTCTGTAGGCCAATATTGCATATGAGGCGCGAAGGTATTGCGGTTGCGGAGGACCGGTCCATTAGCCTGGGGCGTTGGCGAAGGTGAATGCTCCAGTTTGATCATGGTATGCTGCTGCCCTGATAGACGCGGATCAAGGAGGTTGCTTGCGGCAACACGACGTACGGGGCGTGGCACTGGGGCTTCAATCTTGAGCGGATGCGTGGGCACGGGTCGGGCTACATGGTGTGCGGTCAGTAACAGTCTCAAGTATTATGGGATGTAGGTGAGATACATACCAGTGGTCCTCGCACGAGTGCGACGTTTGTCCTTTTGATTCATCCGCTCCGACATCAGCTCCTCGACAGCCCATTCGGCATACCACTGGTCGTACGTCTCAACGAGGCGGCGAGATGCTTCCTCGTTGGTGGACCGGACTTTGACCTTGTAGTAATTGGACAAGTGACCTTTGCTGGCAATATGAGTGAGTAGATGTGAAACATCGCTGAAGCTGGGCTTTTTGGGGCAAATATTGCAGTGAAGCGGAATGTTGGCCATGCCGGAGGCCTAAAGAGGCTGCAGTAGATTAAAGTGAGAGCCGCAGTGTGAACGCGGCGTTGGTAAGGAGCGTAAGTGAAACAAGCACAAGAGCAGCACAGCAGTGAAGGCAAAGAGCGTTGCGAAAGGAGCGGGTTGATGAGGTGAAGTGGCGGTGGGAGAGGTGCTCATAAGAGACCTGGTACAGAGATGGCTGCCGGTCACTGCGGTAGCTCCTAGCCCATTTCCGGAGTAGATGAAAGGAAAGCAGGAGACAGACGCCAGCACTCGTAATGAAAGAGAGGGGAAGGTGCAGTATTGAAGTAAATGGCGTTCAGCAAGGATGGATTTGTCGGTGGTGTTCTAGTAGGCAGAGCACGTGGAAAAGCTCGGCCCTAACGAAAGAGGAAGCCACCCTCACTTTCCTCCCGCTTTGTGTCTCGACGCCTATGGCAGAAACGCGAGGTATTAGATAGCGGGAGGATGAAAACTGATGAATGAATATTACGTGGGTATGCAAAGAGATACTGGTTAGGAACATATGTGAATGCAGGCAGGCACCCACCTCACCACCCACGTGTGATTTGACTAGTAGTGGTATCTCACTTGAACATCTACTTACCTAAGCATCTACGAGTGACGGATCGAGGCATGCAGCTGTGGGCAGTCAGTACGCATGATGAACTGGGAGAGTAATGGTCACATACTACACAGGGTCTACCTCTTCGAGACCTGGGTATTTCAACAGACTGAGACCAGCAATGCCAAACACGGTATGAAAGACATCAACCATGTCACCAGGTCGGTCTGCGAGGCCACCAAGTTCCGGATCCTGGGATGGTTAGACAGCGATAGATTTGAGGACAAGATAGCACCGACCTGGCACTGCAGGATGAAGTTTGTCAACTTCTGGCCGTCTATCCAATGCAGCTTGTCTAGCATGGCCATGCTGCTCATGACCCACCAGCTGTAGCATACATCCTCCTTCTTCTCCGGGCGGCCGTTGAGGCCTCCGTTCTTGAGTTGTCGTTCGCTTAACCAGGCGCCCAACTTTTCTTGGTTGACAAGGTCAAGTCTCCCCGCGATGGTCAAAGCGCCGACACACGTAAACACCTGACCCGAGTGTGACTCGGCACCCGGGCTGGTGCCGTATCCGCCATCAAAGTTGGCGCACGAGTCGACGTATTGAGCAGCCTTTTCGACGTCGACTAGCTCAAGCAAGCCCATCAGAGACAGAGCGTTGAGTGCGCCGTAGAGAAAGCGCGTGTCCTGCTCTCCCCACTCGTCACCTGCAAAAGTGCCAGTCTCGCGATCTTGCAAATCGGCGATGACTGCTACTATAAGTACACTATCATGATACATAGATATACAGATGACTTACACTTTCCGATTTTGAGCCGACCACCGGGGATGCGATCTTCAAGGTCACCGAAAGCGTCAAGCGTCGCGAGTATCTGCACGCCACTAACGGTGTACAGCATATGGGCATCATGGCCCGGGGCAGCACCGAGACCGCCATTATCATGCATACATGAGAAGACAAAGTCGAGGATAGTGGTGCGCGGGAGAGCATCTGGGTGTCCCAGGAGATGCAGCGCCGTCAGTCCCCAGTAGAGGCCGTTGAGACGCAGATGTTCGGTGAGCCAGTACTCGAGCTCATCTTTGCGCTGGAGCGGGTCAGCGCGGGATTGGATGGCCGGGTGCTTGCGCGGCCAGGCAGAGCAGAGACAGGCTACGCACAGTGTCGAGGCTCTGGATATAGCGGACGTGCTTGTCGACGAAGAGGTGCATCTCGTCGGGCATGCTGGCCATGCCGGCAGCACGCCCGGGCCCAGAAACAAGAGACATGTCAGACAGTCAGATGGGGGTGGTGTTGGTGGGAGCTGGAGGCACGGGAGGGTCTAGTTGTTGTTGCAGGCATGGCGCCGACAGGGGTGGGGCCTGACGCACATTGAGGGAGGGTCTGAATTTGAAACGAGACTTGGCAGACGATCCACGGCTGTACGAAGCATAGCATGTAGCACTTGACAGCCGCCGGGCGCGACAGCCTCGCACACTACGATGCTGCGCAGCGCGCGAGGCAAGTGGTAATGCAGCACCAGCACCGCCAGAAGCCTGCCTTCACCGCCAGACGTGCACTACGCCCGCTGTGGACACCCGTTTGCGCACGATAGTCGATAGCGCCCATGGGCCGAATTTGGGGGGTAGGGGTTTTAGCAGCGTCGCTCCCTCGTACCTGGGGCCGTGCGCGCTGCTGAAGTCGTTGCCGCCATCCTCTCGCAGCCCTTGGTGCCCTTTGCTCGCAGCATTGCAGAGCCTGTGCCTCTTGGGCCAGCCATCATCCCCCCCGCCCACCACCACCATCGACCAGGAGACACGTGAATTGTGTCCTTTTGCTGACCAAGGCGCCGCCCACCGCCCTCGCTCTGCAACGGCCGGCCAAGCCCAGCTCCACTCGCTCCTAGACCTCCAGGGCTGTCTCCAGTTCCCTCTCCCGCGCCCAGAAATAGTCGTCGTTCGTGACTTGTTTGTGAAGTGGGTAAGTAATGCCCGACGACAGCACTGCGACACCCACACACCCGCTTGCACTCGTGCCCGCCTCCCCCCCCAGGTTGTACACCGTCAACACTCGCCATAGCGCCGCCCGGCCCCTTTCACGTTCCGCAGCGCTTGCTGACCATATTCCAGGCGTTGCATGACCGCCTCACTGCCCGCGACCCAGATACTCGATATCCGAAAGCGAGCACGTCTGGTCGACCGTCGTCACATCTCCGCCTCCGACTCTGGTTGCACGCGCTCGGCATCGTCCATCCCTCCGGGTTCCTGCATGGGAGCAACGTCCTGCCGTCGGTGACATAGACTCAACACTCGCAGTCGACGCATCGAGGTACGCCTACAGAGAGCGCTGACCAGACTCTGACGGTTCGTACTACCCCGCGCGCTTCCCAGTACCTCCTTCACCTGCCATTCACCCCTCTACGCCATGAATGAGTCTGCTGCTGACCGCCACGAAACTTAGGCTCGTTGACCGCGCAACCACCCATGTGCCACGTCCACTGAACCTACTCTCACTACCCCTACCCTACACGCGCCGCATCGTCCGTTCCAACATTCGCTCGATTGCCTGCACATTGGCGCGTTTGTCCCAGAAACACTCACCGAGATAGTGCGCTCTTCGACCTGCAAGCTTGGCAGCAGCCGTTGCTTTTTAAGGGAGTTGTGCTAAGGAGTCAGTAGCCCTGGGAGCTTCCAAAGAAAACAATACGAAAGATGCCAAAATCTTCAACACTGTCGTTGGCTATGCGGGGCAAGCCCAAGGATAATGCCAACAACACACCCATGAGTCCAAAAAGCCCGAGGTCGCCAGAGATGCCTGAGGATCTCGATTTTGCGACACCGAATGCCGCGTTTCACAACATGCCACAGTCACCCGCCTCTCCGAAACCTCGCAAAGACTCCAAGAGCATCTTCTCCAACTTCAGTGCCAACAAGTCGTCATCACGCCTCAACAGCCAGGGCAACTCGACACGCCAGCTTCCTGAAAACCAACACTCGCCCAGCCTATACTCTAATGGGCGCAGCGGTGCGTCCACACCAGACCTCGGCCGTCCTGTGCGCACACCCAACTCCGACGGTATGGTTATGCCAGCTCAGACAAATCTCCCCTCGCTAATTACCGCAGACAATCGCTCCGAAGTCGTACGCTTAGACCAACGGACAGGGTCAGGTAATTCCAACGACTCCTCCGATCCGCACGCCGACTCCTCGAAACGCAACAACGTCAAACCGAAAAAGGGTATTCTGTCGCGATCCAAGTCCATCAAAGAAGGTGAGACTTCAGGGTCTCGCACAAAATTGAACAAAGCACCCCCAGGCCAACTTTCGCCGGACATTGCAGGTTCGTGGACGACCAACGGTGATGGTATGCCATTGAAGACGGCGCCAATGGATAAAGGTCAACCATGGCGAGGCATAGGCAAGCCACGGACACACTCGGCCGATCGTCAGGACGGATCCAAGCACATCCAACGGGATGCCGATTACGGTCAAAGAAGGGACAAGTCGGAACAGATCTCGTTAGCATCCAGCTCGTACAATGAAACGAAGGGACATGGCTTCATCTCAAAACTGGGTTCGGGGGCTCGCAACATGGGCGAGAAGATGGACTCGGCACGCAAGGGCGTATTTGGCAAACTGGGACGAAGCTCGAGCAATCACGAAAGCCAGACGCCCATATCGAACGAACCATATGTGTGCAAGATTATCCACAAGCCGTTGATTGAGCAGACGAGGCTGACACGGATATCGACTCGTCTGGAACAGTCACGCGATAAGACTGAGTTCTGGATGCCAGCTCTGCCTTGGCGGTGCATAGAGTATGTTGTGTCTCGAACGGATCTGAGGATCAGGCTAACCATAAGCGTAGTTACCTGAACATGAGGGGTTGCGAAGAGGAAGGCTTGTATCGTGTTCCAGGATCAGCCCAACAGGTTCGGTATTATGAACGCAAATTCGATGAGGGTAAGATCGTCTTAATCGCTACTATGATACTTGCTCACCTAAGTCACAGACCGAGACATCGACTTGATCAGCGACCCCAACTTGAACGACCCAAACGTCATCGGCTCACTGTTCAAGAACTGGCTCCGACAACTGCCCGACGAGATCTTCCCAAAGGCAGTGCAAACCGCGATTCAACAAGAATGCCAGGGCGCCAAGACGACACCGCAAATGCTCAAGGATGAGCTCTCCAAGCTTCCCCCGTTTAATTACTACCTCTTATTCGCTATTACCTGCCATATCAGTCTGTTGCACTCCTGCTCTGAGTTCAACAAGATGAACTACAACAACCTATGCATCTGCTTCCAGCCAGCAATCAAGATCGACGCCTTTTGCTTCCAGTTCCTTATTCTGGATTGGCGAAACTGTTGGCAGGGTTGCTGGACAGAGAAAGACTTCTTGACGGACGAGATCAACTTCCTAAACGCTGTAGAAGTTGAGTCCCAGCAGCAACAGCAACAGCAGCAACATCAACAACTACAACAGCACACCTCCTCAAGGAATGGACCACCTCAAAGTGCTGGCAAGGGCAAAGGCAATAACTCGCCCCAAGTCCAGCCTTCAAAGAAGCCTGTTACGACGCGGAGTCAGTCTACGGACCACATTAAATCGTCCTC